TCAGCAACAGGCCGGAGAGCTTTACGGCAGTGAACACTCAGATTATTCATTGGTGGCCATAACGAGAGAATGCTTCCTAACGATGTGACCTCTAAGGCGATATTATGTTTACTTCTCTCGTTGGCCAGCAATAAATTTAATAGAAAACTCTTGTCTACTGCACCAGGAGCTTCCAAAAATGTCTCCAAACACTGCTGCGATACTTAAAAGTAAATATTTTCTAATTGATATGTCTCTGTTCATTTGTTAGGCCGCCTTCTTTACTTGACGCCAGTTTTGCCAAGAAATTGAGAACGCTTCTGTCCACAATTGTATTTTGTTTCGAACAGATCGGTCTCACATCCACTTTCGTATAGAAAAATAGTTCCCATAGTTAATATGGGCGCAAAGCTACTACTGCACCAAACTGTAATGTACCAAATCAAACAAATCCAATTTTTTTGATTAGATCAGCCCTGAGTTCACTGTTCCACATTTGTCTATACCGGCAAAGAGTTACTTGTTTACCAAATTTCATGTAAATTTAACGGTTTAAGGGTAAAGCCACTCTAGGACTTTGGAAAACACAATTTATTTTTTTTTCCTCGGAGTGAAAAAAATATTTCAAGTAACTCAACTTTGCAATTTGCTGCAGCCCCTCAGAGCGTGGACTGAGTAAAATGGAACCTTTAACCGCATTTTTCTCAAAATCACATTTTTCAATCTGGGAAGACAGATTATTCGGACCCAATTGCATTGCTTTTTCTGGAATTTTGATAGCTGCTTTCAAAAAATTTCTTAAAAAAATAAATCCGTTCGGACTTCCAAAGGCCATAGTTTTTAGACCATGAAACTTTTTGCTTTTTTGTTCTAGGTCTCAGCCCTTAGAAGAAATCTATACTCCATTGGATGCCTTTCACGAAAAACATAGATTAAATAATGGACCGTAATCAGCTTCATTTTATGAGAAAATAATGATGAAAGAATATTTGTTTATACTTCAATATATGTTCAATCAAATATGTTCAATCAAAAAGAAATTCTATTCCTTTTTTGAATCTCTGAGTGGCTTTACCCTTTAAGACTCGATTTTTTTAATAGATTGGTGTCAGGTCCGCTTCTCGGAAAATCCTTTCTTATACGACCTACACAGAACGCATCTTAAAAGTTCAAGTTTCAGGTCTCAAAGACCAGTGGTTTAGGCTGAGGATTGATTTGTCAGTCATTCAGGACAAAGCCCTGTATGAATATATATATATATCTCCCGCAATTCCTCTTTTCAATACAAAGATCCTCAACAATAACAACAACTACTTCGTATAGTAGTATTACAGTCACACAATTTGGATCTGATAAATAAATGCGCTGCTTTATGTTTGCACCCCACTGTATTATCTACTGCATCAGGTGAGGTGTTCCATAGCTCAACCAGTGATAAATTGTGCACTCAACAACAAATTACTTGTGGTCTGGCGTAAAATGTGCATAGAAAAAATCTAAATCGTGTGAAAACGCCAGGTGTCACATTCAAATAGCATACATACATATGTACTTACAGTACCTGACATATCATCTACACGTATGTATAATATGTAGATTTTGAAAAAATCGCAAAAACAAATTGCGATAACCATGTAAACACTTCAAAGCGCACACTTCATGGGTAATACATATTATATTAGGTGTAGTAAAAAGAAATCCATTATTTTTCCAATAGATGACGTCATTTATCTGTATCTCGCGTTCTATAAGTCCGATCGGGCTCCGCTAGATGGCGTTAGAAAGATGGCATTTCGTACTTGAAAAACTTTCTTGACAATTTTGTGATTCATTGATTCAGTTTTGTCTGAGCGTGCTTCAAAGATGGACATTAGCAAAGAGAAAATACGCTATATTACACAGTTTTTCTTCGATAAGAGTTAAAACTAGCGTTTATGGTTCTGATACTGTTACAGCCAATCATGCATAATTTCGGTCTGATTCCAGTCATTTTGATGTAAAAGATGCTTCCCGCAGTGGAAGGCCAATTGTCGATAAAATGTTGGACATTGTCGAGTCCTACCATCATGTAAGCACTGTTTCGATTGTCCAAGAGCTAAGGAGTGCATAAAAACCCCGTTTGGGATCGCTTGAATAAGGCGGAATACGAAATGAAAATTTTAAACTATTCAATTTCATGCAAAAATAATGGATTTCTTTTTACTACTCCACTGTATTATAAATATGTATTTACATATCTATATATACGAGTACTATCTAATTATTGCCGTCGCCGCCACATTATTCATACGTATGTATGTATATACATTTACCACCAAAGCTCGGACTTTCATCCGCAAAACGTAGTGAATAAATGTTACCATTTCGTTCGCTGTATGTAGGATTTTGATATATTTCTTCCCTTTCTTTTACGAACATCGAGTTATAATGCAACATACAGAGGACACTCTGGGACTACCCAAAGGACTAGCTCTCCTTTATAGCTTTATGTAAAAATGTGTACTAGTAAGTATTTAGATAGTTGGGGGAAGCTTACCTCATGATAGCTTTTTGAGCTACTCCTGAAAAGCGCCAGTTTGAGATTGAGATCAAGGGTTTGGTTTGCAATCCTTGAGGCGGCTGAATCTCTTTTCTTGGTTAATCAATATTTCTTACTTGAAAAAAGCTTCCAACAAACAAAAACTGGTAAATTTTAAAATGTAAATATTGTAAGTGAATGCCGAGATCTTGAAGAGTGTTTTGCTCGATTCCTTTCCGAAAGCTTTGCTGTCAAAGATGTAACCCATTCCAGTCACTCAAAATGGCGATGGCGATTCTGCTGGTAACAGAGCAAGTCTCATATGAAATCTTTCAGGACGTAGCGAGGGCACTAGACATCACTCACATGTTAGTTGATTCAAAAAGGGCTCGATGTTTGGGTGCCACATTATTTAAAATAAAAAAAATTTGATCAACCGTATGAATCAGTGAAACGCGACAAACTCAAACCATCACCTGCGATGAAAACTGGGTTGAGTACGAGTATATGAAACGAGAAAAACATTTTCAAAAGCCGATGGCCTTCCACGACTTCAAAGCCTAAATTGGCGACAAACAAGGTGACGCTGAGTTGATGTTGCTACAGGAAGAGGTTTATACATTAGGAGTTGTGACAGTTAAACAGTTTACAGCACGATCTTCAAAAAAGAGTACAGGATTGATCGAAAAAAAAAATTGCTGTGTTTCATCATCGGAACGTCAGGCCACGTACGCCTCTGTTGACTAGGCATAAACCGACGTGAAGTTTTGAAATTTACTTCGGTCTCTGCAAAACTCGCTTGACAGTAAGAAATTGGCCGACCAAAGAGCCACTAAAAGTCATTTGGCTAAAGTCTTCGCCGATAAACCATAGAATTTCTACATTAGTAGAACTATGAAGCTACCAGGAATATGCCAAAACATCGTTGGTAATGATTAAATTGAATTTCATTGAAAAAAATTTTAAATGTAGAAAAATTTGGTTGAAAAATGTACAAAAAAATATTGAAGATTTTTTACTTGGCCCTTATTTTTTTTGCCAATTAATTGGAGATGACAACAAATATTTAATTTACTTTAGAATCTTCATTCTTGAGTGGATTTAAATCCTGACTTAGTTAGAAAAAGATCGGTGTTTCCCTCCCAAACTTTTTTTATTGCTTTGGCTGGAGACACTCCGATGCTACTGTCAGACATCAGTTAACCAAGCATTACACGGCAATAATCTCCCATTGATCCGTGGCCTGATTTGCTGTACATGAATGTCTATTGCAATTAGATCAGCTATAACAGAAGCGGCTTGAGCCGATATCATATCCAATATTTATGGGGTGTACTGTTATTTGGTAGTTCGGGTTGAGCTTCATATGGGTGACCATGTGAGTGGGAGCGACCTGCTATTTCTTCGGATGGAAAAAATTGCGAAAAAACCGCTGGAGATGTCATGTAGTTAAGACTAAACTCGGGTGGTACTGAACATTAGATATTCAGCTGAAATTTACATTAGGTCCACAGATCATTTCAAAATAGGTGTATTATATGGCAGGTAGGTCTATTTACAGACCAATTATAGCTGTTTTATGTAGATCTTTAACACCAATCAACAGTACCATACCTAGAGAGTTCGGTTCAGTTCTGTTGCTTAATGTCTTAATTATCCGATCTTGAGGTGGGAGGTGGAAAATAAAAAATCCTTTATACAAGACAAACGAATAGTAGTTGCACACCTTCATTCAGAGTAGACTGTGGAAATTAGAGGTGGCAAGTTTTATTGTAATCTGTGCTGGTGGACCCAAAAGTGAGTCGTACTAGGCCCAACTGAAGTTCCTTCCTTTTATGCAACCGTCTCTAAAAAATATGACTTAAATTCCATATTTAGATATTGAATTAATGAGATTCTTGAAATTTTCAAAATTACTGTTATATGGGGGGAAGGCGTGGGCTTTGGCAAAATATTGTGTACGGTGGACGGACAGTTAGACTCGTTCCTTGAAGTATATGTATACTTAAAGATTTGGAACTTTGTAACCGCTGAGCCTTTATGTCATGTTAAAAATATTCTCTTTGGAGGGGCGGCCGCAATTAGAAAAATTAAAATAGTTTTTTAATTAAATAAATTTCTCCTTAATATTTGGATGTTGGTTGGATCAGAATTCGAGCCCTTGCCCTTCTTGTGGCAATACGCAATACTAACCACTCGATTATCGCGGCCGCACATAAGTCCAACCGATATCGATTATTTTATGCCATCACATACAACCCACATGCTGGAGCACCCTAATATATTCTGCACTGATAGATTTCGCCTGAAAACGTAGTAGACACAACGCAATTGCGATAAAATCTGAACACTGTTTGCGAGTCAGTAAACTATACGCCTACAACCTACAACAACACTAGTCACCAGTCGGCAAGCAAACCAACCAGAAGATTTGCAGCTAGTCGTGTTTAAGATCACAAGGCCTCTGGTGGTGGCAAGTGAAAGGAAAATCAGTTATAGAAGAATGAAGTTCACCTTCAAAGTCGGTTGGAAAATCGGCAATGTCACTGCGGATGCGCGCTTACGTGTACAACAACAGCAACGCAAACTCAAGACTCAACGTCTGTGGCGTCGCCAATGCGAACGTGCTAAACGTCGTCAAAGGTTAGTGAGTTGTATGGCTTAGTCGAAGTGAAGAGCTCAATATGTAAATGCTCCACTATAAAAATTAAATGTTAAAACAATGTTTTCCTCTAAGCACCTGTGATGTGTGTGTGTGTGCGCTCCCTGAAGGATATATGTATGTTAATGTGAGCCGTAATTAATTAGTTGCGTAACTTTCAGCCAAAGTGGCAGTAATGCTGCCACAAAATGTGATCCGCTGGCGCAGAAACACAACCGCAAAGCGCTACTAATTAAGCGTACATGCACTGAATTCATTGCACAGATGGAGCTACTGCATCGGCAAATAGACAAACCGCCAAGTAAGCGTCTAATTAACACTAAAGAGATTAGATATTGATTTACATATTATATATATTTACATCAGAAGCTTTACCAAAGTCCAAGAAGTCGAACTTCCAGCAGGATGGCAGTTTTCATCAAGCCGTCGGTAAGGGTGAGTAAATCCATATAACTACATATATATTATATGTCGTTTAGGAAAAGCTAAGGGCTGACATGCTCGGACAAGAAGCGGCGATTTACAATGCAACCCTTGTCTACAACCAACTGAGTTTATGGAAGGAGCCTGCTGAATGGCGTAAAATTTAAAATACTCGGAGAAGGTGCACCCGAATACTGACATTGACATAGTTTGAATAGCGATTGGATCATATTTTTTGCAGAACACGGTCGGAAAAAAGCACCACCGACGTTTAAAATCTAAGTGTGCTCTGTGCAAAACATGAGTAGTTGAAGCTCAGAGGTCTGTGGTATTAGACCTTTCATAGAACTTGCTTGACGTTTCGTTGACTAAAACCTGCGCTCCATGCACGGCATTTTTAGTGCAGCCTTTGACCTGACAAATCTACCACTGACCAGATATTCACCGTGTTTTAAATTTTGAAAGAGACCCATGAGAAAATAATTGGTACACACCACAAGAACGAGCTTTTTCTATGCGGCTACGTCTGTATTTGGGATCTCGGCAATCAACACCAAAAGTTTTGTTCCAATTGCGAAGGGCATCTCCGAGTTAAGGCATCAGACGCGGTGAATCTTTTTCAAGAAACTTTTCCAAACTGATTATCGAGAACATAAAACGAGCACCAGAGCTCATTCGTAGAGCAGATGCTACAATCTTCTATAGAAGCCCACAACAGCTGCCATATGTCGCTAATATTGATATCATTAGCCTAAACAAGTTCTACTTTCTTCAGCCAGGGTAAGGAAGGGTTTGACGATCAATGAGAACAAGACGCAATATCTCCAGTTATCAACCATTGTTAGCACCTTCACGCCTTTGCGCTCATACCACTGTTGACAGTCATAACTATCCTATCTAAGAACCAGCTTTAATGTCTATAAAAGTGTCAGATGCAACTTTGGAGTGAGTATGAAGTTGTAAATTAAAGCCTTCTCTTCGTAGACCATAAACAAACTGTACAAGTCGCTCATCAATTACGTCCTACTTTGTGGAGCAGAAGGTCGGACGACGATAGCATCCTGTGACTAGGTTTTAGAGTGTCTAGGAGAAAGCATCGATGGAAGATTGAAGGAAGCCAGTGGAATGACGAGATATACGACAACATTGACAAACAACTAGGGGTTTTCAGCCGAGTTTCTCTTCCTGTTTGTGGTGTGATTCTTGCCTCTGTTGGTGTGCTTCTTGTCTCTGTTGGTCGAACCAGTACTCGAACTCTGACTATTGCGGTCACGCGTTGATATAGTTCATCGAATTAAGAGACAGGAACAGCGTGAGTTGTGAGTTGTGACGTCTGAAAGGATGAAAGTACACCAGCTCTGAAAGTATTCAATGTAGTATGATGGAAGAAGAGGCAGAAGAAGTCCTTCAGCTGGCAATGTAACAGGCTTCATTTGGTGTCTCCAATAAGTGACGATTGTCACCCCATTGCTAACGCAACTTTACTCGTGTAAGTGATGCCAACGCCAAGTAAGGAGAACCTTTTTTAATATCACTTTACCGTCTGATCTTAGCACGAGTAAGTTTATCCAACTCGACTAGAAACAGCCATGTCCGAAACAAAACAATAACGTCAACTTTCTCTTAAAGTCGCAAGTGTGCGACTGGGAATCGAAAAACGATTGACATTTAAATATTATAACGCAATTTATTTATGTATGTATGTGGGGATTAACAAAAGTTCGATACAAATTTTGCATTTATTAGTAATCTTTGGCTATTTTTATCTTCTCTACATAATCACCATTGATTTCAATATATTTCTAAGCCTATAGATCCACTTCTTAAAACAGTCTTGTGGAATATCAGCTACCATCGGGTGAAGTAAACTGACTTCATTACTTTTGCTCTTGATTTTTGTTGCTTAGATTTTACGGTTGGGATTGCTCATGTTGGTCTCAATACCATGGACTGCTGTTTGGTTTCTGAATTGTACTTATAGAATCAAGATTCGTCACCAAAAATGACTTTACCAAAGTTGCTAGACTGATCATTTCCGAATTTGTTTAGGAAAAATTTAGTAAAATTATCTCGAGCCTCTTCTTGAGCCTCATTTAAAATCCGTGGCACCCATCGAGCAGATTTCTACATGCATCCCAGATGGTTACTTAATATTCACGTTGCACCCACAGCTTTGGCATTGAAGCCCAATTCATTAGCAATCATTTCTTGTGTCAATCGTGGGTCTTCGTCAGTTTTAGACTGCACCAGAGCTAGAGTGACGTCATCAGTGAAAGATTTTGGTCGACCATCTCGGTGCTCGTCCTCTACAGAAAAATATCCGATCGGGAGTTTTCGGTACCACTTAAAAGTAGTCTTTAAATACGGTGCAATCGTTCCATATGCAATTTGGCTTTCACTGAATATTTGTATTGGCTGTAAATTTGCGCCGAAACCCGAAGAGAATCACATGGTGAATTTCTGTTTGCGTTGGTGGTGGCGTTTCGCCTGACCTATCCTCTTCTAACTTACGCTTTCTGGTCTCCATTTTAGCCGATCGTTATAAACTTTGAAAGGTAGACTAATAAAATAATTGCAAAGGATTTGGTATTTTTAGATTTAACAAAAACAAATTGAAAGTCACCAACTGATCGAACTTTTGTTAATCCCCTCGTTTGTATGTGTGAATTTTTGAAAAGTGCACCATTTAATGCTCAGAACCGAACTTCTCTTTTTACTCCTCCCATGCTGCCCATCAACCAGTGTTGCTGTTTGCTGAGTTTTTCGCCTTCATGCCAATTAAGGGCGTAACCACAGCGCATCCTCGACAGTTGTCATTTTCTTTGAAAAACCTAAGAACTTGGTATTGTTTGATATTTATAATGACGACAACAATTGATTTGGGATTAACAATGATTAAAGTGCTACCCAAACCAATCAACTTCAATGGTGTGGGTAAGTTTCAAATACCAAGCTCCGCGGCGAGGTGATGGCGTTGAACAAATATGCACACAGAAGGCTATCATTTCAATGTTTGTTTTCTTATTCTTTTATGTTTCGTTTGTTTTTGTTTTTGTTTCTTGTTTCTCTTTGCCTTTCCACACAAGTCAAATGGGAAAAACAAATAATATTAATGTTGAGAAATTCCACAGTTACTTTATTACACAAACATTTATCTTTGTCATGTCTCTACTATTCGTCAATCGTTTGTCGGCCTTCGCCCGTCGTCATGGCTGGAATCGCCACCTTGCACCACACCGGCTCTCAACTCTCACACGGTACGTTCGTTGTCCAGAGCCATTGATATTTCGTTTATCCATCATCGTGGTGTGCAGCAGTGCTATCGTATTGGCGCGCAAATGGCCGGCATTGATGCTAGACTGGCATGAGGTGGAGTGCGATTTGCCGGAGTATTTAACGCAAATTGAAAAAGGACGTCTGGCGTATAAGCTTAAAATGGTGACAGTTGTGGCCATGGCGTTGTCACTCGGTGAGTTGGATTTGCTCTTGATATAAACGGTTCGGCATAGTGGTATGAATGTGCATATTATTGTAGAATGCAAGTGAAGATGTTGTTTTTGTCATGTTTACTAAGGCTATATATCTCACCTTACAAACACTTGAACCACAATTGGCATTTTTCACACATACACTTATACAAATTTACACTTTACATATATTTTTGTTTAGAGAAAAATATTTCGCTTACTTCATGATTCATGACCTCATGCACAATATATATATGTAATATATACATATCTACATCTTTTATGAAATGATCTAAATTTGCACTACAAAGATAATAAATAAGTGAAATTGAAAAATGAGTTTCCAAATTTGTAAAGAAATCACATTTCCTTATTGGACCTTAAATTGCTGGAATAATTAAAAGCTATTACCTGTGTGACAGACTTCTCTCTTTCATTAAAGGCTAAACATTAGCAAGCTCTCTTAATTCAGAGTGAAATTCAGAATTGAAGAAAAAACTGCCTCACTTCAACTTTTTATTCCAGAAATGGCTCTGCCTTACCAAAATCCAACGAGAATTATTACACGATTGATACAAGTCCGTCCGAAGTATTGAGTATCAGAACGACTCACAGATCCATCAAAATGTACACGGATATGATCAGAATGACGAGCTAAGTTGATTTGGCCATACCCGTCTGCTCATCTGTTCGCCTGCTTGTTGTCGCGAACTAGAATTTCAATGATGTATTCTTACATTTGAACGATAATTTTGCAGAACCCGCCAGATCGGATCACTATAACATACAACTGCGGTCAAAATAATAGCAGTGCTTTGTGGATTTGCCTTTTAATACACTTACCTGACCTTTGTACAATAGGTCTATGGCTTCTGCGCCAGATTAACGCCCAGATCATCCGAGGATATGTGATGCGTTATTACCGCCTAGGCGGCAGTCGCATGGTGTATATTGATTTGGGCAATTTTTATGTTCGGCTTTACTCATCTTTGCATGTGTGCTCCTCGAAATTCCTCCAGCTCTCTTTTCGGAGGGGTTTCTTTGTCGGCTACTAAGTTTGGCGTCTGACTCTTACTTTGCAATTAATTGCTTTTGGCTACAGCCCGTTCTTCTACTCTCCACGCATCTGTTGAATTTGATTAGGTTTCTTCATCTCCAAGGTTTGGTAAATATAATACCGGATCTAAAGTTGAGTTTGAAGCTGTTCCTCGACATGTTGTTGAACGGCTCGTCATCTATACATGAGTTCAGCTTCAAACAGGTCCCTTCAGCTCTTGCGTCTATCACCTCCCAGTGGAAGGTGTGGAGCCCTTCATTTTGCGCCTGCAGTTTTGGAGCAGCTGACCCTTCCTGTTGGCTTAATGGAGAGGTCCGTCTGAGCCTTTTCTAGGGTTGGTTATCTGTACGCTTACTGCTGATACTTGTTTGCGCCTACATATGTTTTGCTTGGACTTAGGCTGACTCTAGGCTCATACCCCTCTCAGAGTTTTGTAAATATCTTACAATTCCAAATCCATCCGCCAGGGCGCCCTAGCTCTGGGACCTTCGGTCCACGTGTTCTTTTTTGCTTTCCGTCTGTTGTACTATCCTTTGGTGGCGAGATTTTCTGCCCTCTTTGCACTCCATCGGCTTTTTCTGGTTTGTTTGGCAAGGAATTGTGTGCTTTCAAACCTGTCTGTATTCCTACCTGAAAATCTCCTCCTTCTCTGATCTAGCGTTAGATGACGATTTGGACGACGCATTCTTTTCTTCGGTCGGAATGATGGTTGATCGCTCCGTGGATGAACGCCTGCTGTCTGGCGAGTCACATCTGCTGCTTCGTGCGCTCGACCTACTTCCTCTATTTCGTTTATGCTGGTCAGAGTGCTAATTTCACCATCGCCATTATCTAGCCGATGCCCTCCTGATTCATTTTTGGCTTCCTGAAGGTGTTTGGTGGGCTCCCATATGTGAGTAACGCTAATTACTTTTCCAAAATCTTCACTAAAGTCGCGTAGTTTTTGCGGAAATCGGTCAAATTCTAGATCGGCAAGTTCGAATTGGTTATCACATTACTTTTTGTCTAGGAATAAATATATACCGAATTTTCAATACGACTTCAGTCTTTTCAGTTGATTAATCTATGGTTCGTCAAATACACCCGGCTTAAAATTTTCTGGAAGGGGCTAAATTTATAGGCCCATTCAGAGTCTTTACTTGAGGTATTTCCTTAGGTAATGTGGTGCCTGTGCCTGGTTAGCATTGCGTCCAGCCATTCGGAAGGTCAGGGCTCGAGTCCCGACAGTCTCACAGTTGTGGCTTTAAATAATGATATAAATATGAGTGGATCTATCAACCGTTATTATAATTGCCGTATGACGTAATTGGCGACGTGAGGCCAGGATTTTATGTACTATGTGCACATATGTATGTATCTAGGGCGTAATCAGTTTCGTTTTCTAAGTATTCCGAGTCTGCATTATTGAGCCATTGCTGGCAATTGTTGGTAGGTCATCGCCATGCTGAAATTATTAGTTGCTAACATTGAAAATTGTAAAGAATGAGTATATGTGTGTGTGTGTACAAACATATAAGTAAATAAATATGTATGCTTCTCTATGCGTTCTATGCATTAGTATGACTTGCATAAAATTTATTATCCAAGGAATGAAATTCTAATCCCGACGGACGTGTATACCCCTACATACATATGTACATGATGATGTAGCATTTTCATGTAACAAAAATGTAATAAATTATAATTTGAAATTCTTCGACCTCGCAACGCATAATATCAATTGTAAATAAGAGTTGAATTTTTCCTTGAAGAAGAAACTGTTTAAAGATTTCTGCTACTTGAGGAAACGCTTGCGCAGTAGGTCCTTCTATTCGCCGTTCGGTGCCAAATGAAGACATCGAGGGGAACCAGGTCCTTCTCCAACTGATCTGCCCAACGTAGCGGAAGTCTTCGTCTTTCTATGCTACCAACGGTGGGCATTTCGTCAAATACTTTTAAGGCTGGCGTGTTTTTCGCGACAACACACATTGCCTAGGACCGAAATGCTCTGTAATGTCTTTCAAAATTCTGACTAGGGCACTGGTATTGTCCGCAGTCTGTTTACGCAGAAGTATATGTTTTGCGAGGATATCAAGTTCAGGCATAGCGACGTAGGGCCGCCTATATTTCGTGATCAATCAGTTAGCTCTATAAGTGTGTGATATTGGGAAGGTCTGGACTGGAGGACTGGGTAAGAAAACGAGGGTAAGACCAAATATCTACTGTCATCAAACAATGTCAGCCTGGAAATCCAACGCATAATCACTCTTGCCAACAGGTGCTACTTTGGACTGGGTCGACAACTGAAAAGTAAACTCCTCTCTCGACGAACGAAAACCAACTCTAGAACTCGCATATTGTTTCTGTCCTGCGATATGGCGCCGAAGCATAGACGATGACAATATCTGATGTGTCGGTATTAGGAGTTTTTAAAAGAAAGGTTATGCGTAAGATTGATGGTCCTCTACAAGTTGGGAACAGCGAATATCGCAGCCGATGGAACGATGAGCTGTACGAGTTATACGTCGACAATGATTTAGTTCAGCGAATGAAGAAGCAGTGGCTACGATGGCTAGGTCACTCCAGCTTTGAAAATTTTCGATTTAGTATTCGACGGTGGAAGCAGAAGAAGGGAAAGATTTCTACTCCGTTGGAGAGACCAAGTAAATAGGAACCTGGTTGTACTTGGTATTTCCAATTGGCGCCAAACAGCGAAAAAAAACGAATGGCGAATCGTGTAAGCGGTGTCTACGCTAGTGAAGTAAGTAAGTAAGGTATTGAGGTGACTTAGCAAATTGTGGGGTTTTCCTTTTTGCGGATTTTATAGCGAATAATTAGATTTCAATAGTCATCCAACCAAATTTTCCAAATAATGTATGCACTTTGTTAATTCTTTGCCACATATCAGAGTAGCTCAGTCAGTAAATGATCATCTCTCGACATTTTCTTGTTGTCTCCGTGTGGCCACAATCGCCACACTTCATTTGAGCCGTGCGCAGTCTGTTTCATCGTCATCGATTGGGAATTCGGGTTCACCGTCTACTGGTGTTTCATATTCTTTTACCATTACCAAGTTGGAGAAGGATGCGCTGCATGAACTCTGTATATTTTGGATATTAGTAATCAGCTTACTTCTTTCGATACTAATGAGCATGCTTCGGTCTTAAAACCTTCTCTAAATCGCCGCCTTGTCTGTCTTCATATTAATGCTTCTATGGTTGCAAATGCGTCTCGTTTCGGGATCTATCTTGCTTACCTAGCAGGGGTGTAAGTCGATTAGGAAACCTTTTGGGTGCAGCTATTGGGGTCGAACAATACTTGTGTTTTGGTTACGAGTGTTCCTTACTACGTTGGTTCCTACATTTCTTGGAAAATCGCAAGGTTTACTCCATAATTTGGGGAGGAGCTGTGCCCATAATCACTTGCGCTGTTACAGAGCTCGAATTAAAGAAATAAAATCTCGCCATTTTATCTGCTTTCTTAACCCTAGAACCTGCAACCTACAATTGACCATGTGCAAGGAATGTGTATCTAAGTGTAGACCGAACAACCCACAAAATGCCCCTGAGTTGTTGTTTAAACTGAAAGAGGGTATCGGACGGAATGATAGGGATACGAGGAATGAGAACGTCTTTGGCGTTCAAAGGTCTAATCAGAATTGGGACGGATTCCCTTTGAATGACCGCTCAAATATATCGCTTAATCTGCCAGCCATGAACCGTATAATTGGTTTTGACACTTGATAATACCCCATATAGTAGATTTGATTTACGGTTTGGCCCGGTGCACACGCTGATCATTCATTTCAGTCCGCACCTCGACTGGTCTCCCGCTTCGCGCTTCGTCTTCCACGCTCTAACGCCCCTCCTTAAACTCTTTATGTCATCGAAACACCCGGGCACGACTAAGAGCATATCACCACCCACTTTTGCAATTTTAGCGTAAGTTTCCGAAGCTGCTTCGCCAAATTTGGCGCAAAATTTTATCTGGACGCGTTGCTCTTGATTATTCCCCATTCGTGGCCAGCACCACGACACAGCAGGCGAACTAAACAACTTACAGCGATGGCAAATATACCAATGGAAAAGAGAAGAATGGCGGGAGAAGGGAAATTAGCAGATCCCAGGGTTACCACAATCGCGCAATATAAGCTGTCTCATTACTTTATTGTCGCACCTCGTACATACGAGTATATTCAAGAAAAAACAGTTCTCTTTAAAAAAATCAAGTAAAAAAAAATTTCCAAAAAAGCCACTTATGTAGGGAACTTAAAATTTTCCGCATAACCGAAATCTTACGATCGGCTCTAACCAGGCCAAGACTTCTTTTTCTCTTTTTTTGAGAAAACTAAATCAAATATAAAAAGGTGAGCCTGTCAGAGATTGCTTAAGTTTAAGTGAAGATTAAACTGTATAACTAACCTTGCTTTGAAAACAGACATGAAATTTATAATTTTCTGCTAACACTTTCAGCCGAACATCTGCTGAATATCACATCCCATATAATCTACTCGAACTCCTGTCCGCAGACCAATGATCGAATCAGGGATTTTTTTATTTTAACGAACCAACATTTATTTGAACTATTTCCCTACTCCATTTACTTGGCACTGTGGGGTAAGACGCAGAATATACTCTGCACTTTCATTTGGAATTACATGGATGTATTTGTGATGATTGTGAGCATCGGTTTGGCAGCGAAATTCAAACAACTCAACGATAATTTATACAAGTTCAAAGGCATGGTGAGTGTTACAAAATTTTATAGTCAATTAAGTTTGTAATTATTATAGTTGCTGCCAACAGCGCATGCCCGAGGAGTACTGGTCTACACGCCGTAAGCAATACCGGAACCTCTGCGAGCTCTGTACACGTGTCGATGCTGCCATTTCGGTCATTACAATGATATCCTTCTCGAATAATTTGTACTTTATTTGTGTGCAACTACTGCGTAGTCTTAAGTGAGTGCTCAAACATACATACAAAAATACATACATACAAACATACATATATCAATAATAGTATAACATAAAATTTATGCGATGAAAAATACCCTGCCATAAACGTTTTATTTCTTCTCCTTAAATTGCAGCAAAATGCCCTCATTTGCACAGGCAGCCTACTTTTACTTCTCATTCTTCTTTCTTATCGGTCGCACATTGGCCGTTTCATTGTACTCGGCCAGCATCAATGATGAGTCACGGAAACCGTTGCGCATTCTACGCTGTGTGCCAAAGGAATCGTGGTGTACCGAGGTGAAGCGTTTCTCTGAGGATATCAGCAGTGATTTGGTCGCACTAAGCGGAATGAAGTTTTTCTATCTCACACGCAAATTGGTGCTGAGTGTAAGTTCCAGCGTAGAATATTAGTTTGTGTGAATGCGAGTCGCGTCTCACGCGCAGCTTCATCGATTGCCCAATTCATATTCATTACATCTTGAAGTCACATTGCTCATATTCTTAACCAGCGAATTTGACCTACACTCACACATACATAAATATTGAATACTTTCAGGTAGCCGGTACTATTGTGACTTATGAATTGGTGCTCATACAATTTCATCAAGAGAGTAAGCTCATAGAGTGCAATTCGCCGTTTATGAGAAATGGGAGTCGACACTAAAATGAGGGAAATCGTTGCAATGGACAATATCAAGGATGCTCATGCATAAGATAACAGTTTGAAATCAATAAAAAATTGTTAATTAAATAATTTCAATCCAAAGAATAGTTAATTAGAGATTTCTTCCATCGTGGGGTTTCTTAAGCTTCATACTGGGGAAAATAATGCCTGCTGCAGACTCAGTAGAGATGGTACAATCTTCTATAAGAGAACCCTGTCGTTGGTTATTCTTTAATTAGATTCAACAAAAGAGTCAGGCGAATGTGCCTGCTGGTGAAAGAGTATGAGAAGACATATCTACTGTCATCAAATAAATATCCCTACTCGGCTCTCACATCACTCTTTACAGTCAAAACTTTGTAGTTGTGGACAATTTTGTATCTCATGCAACCAGCAATGGGTTGGTGGTCGTGCAAATAGTATTAGTCTTGAAATCCAATGCACTACCAATCCTGCAAACATTGCTACTTTGGACTGAGTAGACAAATGGTAAGGTAAAACTCTTTGGAAGAACTAAAACTATGCTGTACAAATCGCTCATCTTTCCCGACGCCACCTCTTTCTTAATTTTTCTTTATTATAGATTTTTGACTTGGGTTCACTATTGTCGGTTGCTGCACTTTCAGTGCTATTCTCCAGGCTGGAGCGGTGTTCTCACTACAAACTCAGTATACTCTGGTTATCAATCATTAGATCACGTCTCTGGCCAGTGAAAGAGTTTGCTCCGTAATCTTAATGCTCTCTACATATTGGTCAGTAGATAACCACTTTAGGCGCTAGTTGAATATGCACTGTTGTAGAAACCTTCTATAAGCCGTCCTAGCTTCTGAAACTACTGCTGTCAGCCAGCCTCGAAAGCTCTCCATACTCACTCATCTTGGTATTTTTCCTTTGCCTGCAAATACCTCTTGCTTCTCACTGCAAATACGTCTTGGTTGCTTGTCATACTATTTCATCTTCTGACATTGCTTTCGACCGATCGTGAGGCGTAAGCTGGCAGTATCGGTCCCAACCGATGTTAGGGCCACATCTATGACACTGAAGATGAGTCCCCCAACTAATACAACATGTTCGACTTGGTTGCACGATTTTCGATCCGATGATAGTATTGTAGCTTGATGAGTTTTCTAGCGCCTAAAACAGATCCCACAGACAATCATATTGAGGGCGTCGGTGTAGTCAGTTAGTCTCAAGCTGTTTGATTATACGTCGTAGTGGAGCCTGAATTGTCTAAAAATTGTGCTGACGATACTTACTCTGCTCATCTTATCATTAAATGCGCAAAGCACAATTTTCACATTGCTCATTGGTGTATTCTAGATGCCCATAGCAAGCATTTTTATTTAAATCGTCCTTCCCTTCCGCCAGAATGTTGCCGCAAATCAGCGATACATTGAATCCTTTCGTTTGGTGCCCCAAATCGTCTGTGTGAATGCCAGCGCTCGGAGTGGATGTCTCTATCCCACCACAAAGCCAACACCTTGCCCGGCCCATTACACTTCTTGTACGTTGGCGAAGTAAGCGTTTAGACTTACAATGACGTCAATCAGCTGGACAACCGCACCTATCCTAGTTGTCTGGTCACTCCCAGGCGAATGACAGCCAAGAGCTTTTCTAACTTGCATGTACTACACACGGTCTCATCCTCCAACTGCGATATTTGGAGGAATGCGCTTGCAGGTACGCGGTCTGTTCAAAAAGAAATAAATGTGCTCCAAGCCACTTATTGACTATAGCGATTAGCGTCCTGGGATTGCAACCAGATCAACATAAATTGTTTGAGAGCAAATCGTTGAATTACTTGAAGAGAATTTTGGTATATCAATTGTGGCATGCCATGCAGTTTTTTCGAATGTTTTGGGCATGAAACGTGTGGGAGCGATGTTTGTTTCGAAAATGCTAAATTGTGAGCAAAAGCAACATCGAATTAGTATCGCTCGGGAGTTATCGAATGACATCAACCTCGATTGACCTTGTTTGCTCGAAACGGTCATAAGCGGTGTCAAACGTGGGCATATGGTTTGATGTTGAAACCAAAGCCCAGATGAGTCAAGAACGAAAAAAAACAAATTCGAAGAACAAACTGAAGGCAATACAAATACCCTGAGAAGCATTTCACAAGTACTCCGAGGATCAGATCAAGCGCAGGCATAAGTGTATGAGAGGAACTCCTTTGAAAGGATCAAACTGGATTTTGGTGAATAAATGAAGAAATTCAAATTTTACCTCTTTTTGAACAGACCTCCTCGTATGCACCAAATTGCAACCGTTGTAAACAAGATAAGTATAAAGTCTAATTGCGTGATAAAAGATATTGATAAATGACAATTTTATGTTTCGTACATTGGCCATTTAACGTAGATATTTTTTCTGTACTTTTTTTTTTTTTGTTGTAATAGTAGTTCATGTGCATGTAAGAGTACTTATTGCCTTATTACTTATACAAACATAATTTTCATTTCGGTTTGTATTAAGGTATTCCATAAGCGGATGATATCTAATTTTAAGAACGCGCACAGCCATTCCGTGGAGGTCGGAAAAAGTAATCTAACTTCCGGGTACCTTAAAAAAAAATCCAAAAAAGGCATTAAAGGGGATTGTAGAAACTATAAAATAACCCACGATGTAGAAAAAAAAATTAAATAAAAAATGACAAAAATTAGCTTAAAAATTTGACGGTATTTTCCAATCCAAATTTACCATTTTAGTCTGATAGAAAAATTCGAAGATCACTTTATACATGAATACTTTAAAGTAGTTTCAAGTAAATCAGGTAATTAGTTTTTGAGCTGCAATGACAACAAATTTCGAAAACGCTGTTTCGAGAAACACGCGTTTAAAACATGATAATCTCATGCGTTATAGGATTGCTTCGAAACTATTACACTGACGCATCTGTCACCGAAGAAAGTTTTTTTTTTTTTTTGGAAGGAATAAGCTATCAAAGAATATTGAAAAAATCGATTTTTGAGAGTGTATATGATTTAATTTACTCAAAGAAAGAAATCAACAAATTTGAAAATTTTATGTCCCAGAAAAGAAATTAAAGCATTTATACCCATATTTCTAACATTGAAAAAGAACATAAGAATAGAATATGTTGTATTGAACTTTACACGGACTTTGTGAAGCGCTTAGCGCTTCTTACCTATGTCTCATTAGTTTTAGTATTTTTTTATTTTTTGGTAAAAAATGGAACAACCTAATGTACATAGAAAAGGAGGAGTTTTAACCTATGCATCAGGCCAACCAACCATTTATCATTAGTATTTAGCAATTGAAGTCTGACAACTTCACTTCGCATATTTTTCATTAGACGATTTCGGAAACATTTTTATTAATTAAGTGTTTAATTATACAACACTGTTAAAAGAGGTGTAATTTGTTAGTTAAAAAAGTATTATATAATAAAATATATATATAATAATGGAGCGGGGGAAAAAGTCGAATTCCATTATCGGTCACATTAAGTGCGTATTAGGCATGAAGATATCGCTTGAAGCTGGCTATAAGAGGTAGATCTATATATTAAATATTTGTTTGTAATTCAAAATATAATATTCCGAGATCAGAACGTGACTATTTGTTTCTGTTTTAGGTATTTAGTTGTTGAATATTTTTTTATATATTTTCTTCCCTACCCGGAAAATTTAAGTGATTTAAAAAAAGTACATTTGAAATATACGCACAAATTCCAGTAACCCTACAAGTGCATTTCTGGCATGAAAGAAAAAGCCACTCGTTAAAGTACTTCAGTTGTTAGTAGGTGGTTTAAATAAACTGTTATTTTTTTTCCAAGACACATCAAAACTCACCACAGAAATCGGAAGATGAGCCCGACCGCAAATCGGTTACCCAGCGCCAATTACATCAATACCGTGGCTCTAACCTCAGAGGGGTAAGGTTTAAAGACGCTGTATTAGACAAAAACTAATGTGAAAAGAATAGTTCATAGATATTATTGTCTGTAGCTACAAAAAGCCTATGTAAGAAAAATAGGGCCTTACTTCGAAGTAAGCATAAAGGCGATGGTGAAAATTTCGATTCGGGCTGCCCATAACAATGAAAGCTGCGAAAGATATCGGATGTGAATTATTGCGAAGGGTTGGCTAAATTAACAATGCGTGTTAGTCCAGCAGGAATAAAAGCCCTAGGTTTTCTCGAAATCAACTATAAATCGTTCCTGGGCATAGAAATTCTGAGGAATTATAGGATAGATTAAAATTGATGCTGGTCTCACCGGAGGTAGGAATTTGCTAAAATTTCTTAGGGAAGGAAAAAATTCTAACAGCTCAATTCTCTTGAGGTAATAAAATTTACTTTGGTACTAAAATTTAACATTCAGTAAATTTTGTTACTATTTCGTATTCTGAATTCAACCTGTCACCCTGTATTTTTTTGTTTGTAAATAGGAGGTAACAAGTAATCTGCTGTTTGATATTTTGTTAATATTTTGAGAAAAAATAAAAACCAAAATGTGTTGGCATATTTTATGTCTGGAACTCAATGAAGTTGTAGAAAATGGGCAAAACGCGCTTACTAAAGAGTTTGAGAGAAAAAAATAGCATTGTCACACAATTTGTTTACAGCTAACAAACGAATATCATATGGTGACATGACAAGGGAGAAGATGTTCATTTTCATATATGATTTTTACAAACAACTTCTTTAGACAGATGACATTCTTGCCGTTTTATTTGGGGTTTTTCTCCCAGTGGTCGTATCAGTAATGCGTGGAGAGTAATTGTTTTATGAGCCACCCTCTTGTTTCGCGATCACTGTAGTATATTTCAAATTTGATTGTTAAAGTAAAGGACGGGAAATTTAACTTCCCAAAACAAATGAGATGTAAATATAAATATGAACTAGCTGTACCCTACAACGCTTCGCTGTATCACATGCTCATTGAACGAAAGAATTGAACGAAAGAAAAATGAAACATGCTATATCTTTTCATCATAATTTTATTTACTCAATATTTACGGGTATATAACTTTTTTGGTTTTACCATAGACATTGGTCCAATGGTCTAAAAAAAATCCAGCCATTTAGCGAATTTCAAGTAAATCGAACCATAAATCGATACATTTCTTTCGAATAGGTCAGTCCGTGGTCCACTTATTAAAATATTTTTTTATTATTAACCTGGAAAAATCATAGAAACAATCTGACCAAATTTCAAGCCAATCGGTTGGAGCCTTTTGAAGATTTTTGGAGATTACTGGATTCTTCCACGCGGACATAAGATTTTTATTTATAAAATATTCTTCTTCATTTACCAATGTTATTTGTCATGGACGAAAAAAACATTGCTGCTAAAGTTTGGTCAAACAATGTAACCTGGGGTGCTAAACAAGCAAAAAAATTTACTTTACCTTTAACCGGATCGGTTACAGTAATCGGAAAAGATGCTTGGCTGAAAATCGTTAAGTTGAACATTGACATTTAAAGATCATCGTAATTGTCAAATTGAATCGAAAATTGTCAAAAACTCGAATTTCTAAACTCATCACTTGTTGAAGAAAGAATACTTACTGATGTTGATCAATATTCGAGAATGTTGTAAGTCTCAAACAACATTTCGATAGAATAAAATGACTGACATTTAGCTCAGAATCGGCCATGTCGAAGTGCTTTTCTTGAGTATATTCTAATTTCTGTTATTTCATTTTAAGATTACATTTTAATTTTCATATTTGTAAAATTGCTTGAAGAGGGCTTTATTATGAAGTTGTTTATTTGTCAAATATATAATACCAAATACCAAGGATTTTTGTCGAAAACTTCATATCAGAAAATAATTGGTGTATAAAAGCTATATAGACGTATATAGACGTCCGATTTCGATCATTTTAAGCACATACGAGTCTAGGTGCAAATTTCACGCCTTGCATGCTTCTTTAAAAAACTTATGATCTCAAACTCGAAAAATCGGTCGTATATCTGCTATAATGGCCGATATATCCGTTTTAATCGATTTCGATAAATAATTGTTTGAATGTATCAATGCATCTTAAGGACTAGTGGCGTACTAACAGACGGACACGGCTCAAAAAAATCCACTCGTTATTTAGCGTAAGTTGGCGGCCGCAATATCCAAGTGATTAGCATTGCATACAACCATTCAGATTTAGGGTTCGAATCCCGGTTTGTCCAAGATTCAAATCAATTTTACTAGTAGAGGTCGGCAGGTAATGTCTAACCCTCCGAGCATATTTCTGATATTAAATAAAGGCTCCTCGTAAAAAAAAAACAGCCATCCGAAAAATTAGAGGAGGTGTACATACATGTAAGGTGTAAATTAAAGCTCATTTGTTGATCATTTGTGTTAGAATCTAAATTAGGAGTATATTCTATGCATAATAAAGAAAAGAACACATAGCCGAATATGTTTTCGTTTCTTATTCCCTACCTTCTTCCAACTTCAAAATATCAACTGTGGTCCCTCTACGCTTTGAAGTGAGAAAAATACAATTAAGGGGGGAACCTGGCTTAGAAGGCTGAAAATTGCATGATATTCGGCATGGTGTTTTAGGTTGCCTTACGTATAATGTTTCAAGTACTTTTGAAATAGGTTATAGATACACAAATCTTGCAAAAAAATTTACTTTCACTTTATTTGTTACTGTTAAGCAATAAAAATTCGTATTTGTTTGTGGCACTTCTTGCTCGAAGAGTCTATTTTGTGAACACGATAGCGATTGCAGTTTTCATCTGAAACAGAAAAACGAATACTTTTTATGTAGCTTAGGAGTTGCTCTTCTTTGCGAACTTAAGATATTCAAAGAAATGTATAAAATGATTTATTTTAAGACTGTTTAAAAAAAATTTTGAGTTTTTCTGAAGAAATTTTAAGATAATTTATTGAAAAAAGTTTATAAAAAAAAAGTTTTTTATTGAGATTTTTTAGGTTCACGTAGAAGACTACACTATTAGCTGTAAAAAAAAGGTATTACTCAGAAAAACACTGTTTTGAGAAAATCGCGTTCAAAGTATAAGCGCCCGCTTATCAGTCTCCTGAGCGCATTGTCTCTCAGATGCCACTGCAAAACGATTAGGAATTTGACTCTGAAATTTTGTGGAAATATTTCTGAATATATTTCTAATCGAATGAGAAAAATTTCGAAAAATTGATTTTTTTGACCTTTTAAACCTTAACACGTCTGCCATGAAACCTTCCTTCGAAAAGTTATTTTATAACACACCGGGCTCACCGGGTTTGGGACATTCACCGATTTTTCAGTTTGCCCTAATCCCCAAAAGAAAGCTCTTAAAATTTCATTATTCCCTGCCTATAAGTTTGCGGGTTATGGATGATTATGGGTGAGACTATTTAGGGATTTTTAAAGCAATGAATCAGAGACAACTCCGCTCCAACAGAAGTTACAATAAAATGCATTGATGATTCTTTGATGTATTTGGCCACGTTTATACGTAATAAAGAAGTATTTTTGCGTCGATATATTACTATCAATGAAATATGAATCCATTACCTCACAAGAGAATCAAAGCTATCGCCATTAGAGGAGATAGCAACTGGTGAACTTCATTCAAAGGCTTGAAAGCACAACAATCGGCTGGAAATATTATGGATCTTGGTGTGGTCGCACCATCACATACGGTGTGATATTCATCGACTATCTTGAGAAGGTCATGCCATCAACGGGGAATACTTTGTAGTGTTTCGAAGGTAAAATTGCAAAGAAATGGGGCTCTTAGCAGACTTCCAAAAAATATATATCAATGGCGTTTTGTAACCGTTGAAGGGGACCCTCCCCTGATATTGGCAAAAATCAGTCAAAGTTTGTATTTGTTTTTTGTAGGAGAATGAAAAGGCGATTTTGACTATTAAATTTGTTTATTATTTGAGATTTTAAAAAGGCAAAAAAATAGTCGAAATTCAAAATGACGGGAACAAAATGGCGCCTTATACGAAAAAACATGCCCCAACAACTTCAAACCTCTTGTAGTAAGCGGAAATCAGAAATCCTTGTCATTACTTGACTTTTCTACGTCCTGAACCTCAATTGAAAAAATTTTAACGATAAAATTAATGCGTTTTTGATACTTTTTATCACTTCAATTACACTAAATAAATATAAATAATTAATTATTAATGCTAATTTTAAGTTCAAAAAGTACAAAAAACTTTAAAACAGGTTTTAGATAAAAGAAATCGGACGAATAGATCAAGCCTGGGGCTTAAGGTTAGATGGGAAAGCTTAGATTCGAGAAAAACGCGTTCAAATTTTTTGAAAGTTCGCAGCGTGCGTGAGACAGGTGGGTTCGAGAAGCTGTCATTTGAAAAATATTCACCGTATAGGAAAATTCGTTTAAACACATATTTCGTAAAAAAATCGATTTTTTTGTCCAAAATTAAGGGAGTGTCCCCTGAGGTGATTTTCGGCCAAGCTCCTCATTCAATTTGTGGTGTGCTACTTAATGTTTTTTTTCCAAAAAATGGAAAAACCTACAGTTTAATCTAAGCCACCACCGAACGGCCAATGGTCTTTTATGAGAAACCTTGGTTTTAAGTCAGAAATATACGCTGAGGGCTTGACATTCCCTGCCGAGGGGCGAATGCAAAGAATTAATTTGCTATAAAAAGTACTCACCGATAAAGTATTTCCCCTTATTAGGGAACTCATCGCTGAAACTAATGTACAATTTGGGTCAAAAGATAAATCGTTCTACGTAAGTGATATTTGAATAATTGTATGGCTCTTGATGGAGGACAAGATTTCAATGGTAAACTTAAAATGCTGACCGACAATTTCTGACCGATTTCCAATACAAGGATTTTTTGAAAAAAAAAAATAAAAAACAAAAAAGAAAAAACGTGGTTTCCTTGTTAGTCCCGGAAATTTAATTTAAAAATGGGAATGCCGCGCGGCGCGGCTGAAGAGATCGTGCTCTTCTTGATTTGTTACTTATGTAGATGTTTTGATATAAATATTTTTTTTTTTTAAATTTTCCCGTTTCTTGAAACTATTAATAAAGAAATCAACCACAAAACCAACGAAAGCAACCTCAAATTACTATGGACATTCAACCCTCGACGCATAAACAGCCAACAAAGCAAACCAGAAGCAAGTTAGGGGAAAAACTGGAGAAAGGCCAAGAGGGAAATGATTCTCTATCGCGTCGAAAAGGGAAAACACGTAAGTAAAATTAAAAAATTCTCTTTTACTTTCATAAAAACTCTATTATCACTACATACCCGCTTATATAGCAATTCACAGGAAATTTTCCCTTTGGCTTTGTGTTTGCGTTGAAAGTTTTTAATACCAGTTTCTATTGTCGTTGCAACCATTGTCCGCATGACAAAGACACGCGTTATGAAAAAGAAGGCGAAATTTATTTCTTTACTGGTTTTTTCAGTTAATTTGACTATTTTTATTTTTATTTTATTATTTTATTTTTTGTTTTATGGTTTTAGCTTATAAATTTTTGCTCAAAATTACTTTTATATTGGATATATGCATTAATTCGTGCGAAAATTAAGACTTTATTGTAAAAAAATTTGTATACATTTAATGTTCAAAGTATTGCCCATCGGAAGCTGCGATATTTGCCTATCTTTCTGGCAGTTTGTGTTACCCTGTTCTAAAGTGAAGCGTACTCCGGTGAGGGCATTCTGCATTAATCTGAACAAAGGAAGGTGCTATGTCTGGGCTATAAGGCGTGTGAGGTAGAACTTCGCACCCACAGTTTTCCAAATAGTTTTTTACTGGCCTTGCAACATGTGGCCGAGCGTTGTCACGATGAAAAATTATTGATTCGTGTCTCGTCGCATATTCTGGTAGTTTTTCCGCGATGGCCTTTTTCAAACGAATCAAATGTTTTTGGTAGAGGTCCCCATTGATCGTCTGACCCGATTTCAACACATCCTTGTGATCCCATCAAATACATAACATAACTTTGGAACCATGGATATGCGGCTTTGCCGCGGATGTCGATGGTTGGCCGGGCACATATCTCTTGCGCTTTGGGTTATCATAATGAATACATTTTTCATCGCCAGTGACAATCCGATGCGTGATTTGGTGGCGTTGAAGCAACATTTCCGACATGCAGAATCGACGTTCGACGTCTCTTGGCTTCAATTCATAAGGCACCCAACTTACAAGCTTCTGTATGAATCCGAATGATTTTAAACATCTCGAAACGGTTGCTTGATCAACTCCGAATACTTTTGCAAGTTCTTGTTGCGCCTGACATGCAGCTGCGTCGAGCAATGTCTCCAATTCTTCGTCTTGAAATTTTGTTGGCTGTCCGGGTCGTTCGACGTCGTCTTAGTCGAAATTGCCACTTTTAAACCGTGCAAACCACTTTTCCGCTAAAGCATGGTCACCATAAACATCCAGTAAAATACCAAGGCTTTCGGTAGCGCTTTTCTTCATGTTAAAGTAATGAAGAAGAACTCCCCGCAAAAACACTTTATCTGGTCTTAGAAATCCGCACGAATCAATGCATACCAGTACACCCAATAAATAAAACTCAAACTTTCTAACTGTAATTTTTTTTCATTATATGAAACGGATGACATACAAAAAGGTGGCGTCCGGCGCGGTACCCGTGCTGACTACCTGCACAACGGCAGCTTCCACGAGTCGGTGGGTCCGGGTAAGTGCTTCGATATATTTTTTATGGTTACTGAAAAGAATTTTACATTAGAAATATCAATTAACTGTTCAATATTCCACTGAACACTGTAAACAGATATTGAGAGATCCACACAAATTAATTTCTCTTATTTTATCATTTCATTTCATAAAGGGGTTTTCCAAGAAGAGGTGTTATTTTGCATAGGCTGCTATTCCTTGTCGGACAGCAAAACAGAAATTGGTGGCACGTCGCTCAAGAGCAATTGAGAATATTGCTTTGGTATTGCGAGCATCATAAAAGACTTGGGTCTTAAGGCTTATAAGATTCAGTTAATACAAGAACTCCATCAGGTCGATTAGCAACAACGTTCAGTATTTGCTGAAACTTCTCCATCTCCAATGTGTAAAGTTTGGTGGGACGGGGTCTTTGGACTTTAATACTTTGAAAATGAGGCAGGTGCGACAGTTACGGTGAATGGATTTGGGACTCAAATCGCCGTATATGTATGTTCAGGGAATAATATGCGATTTAAGTTTGTCTTAGTCTCCATATTTCGGCAATGGTCGCTTCAAAAGTACATTAGAACAGTTGTAGATGCCCTCATCACTCTGGTCCTGCTATATAACGATAAAGCTTGGACGATGACAACATCTGATGAGTCGGCGTAAGGAGTTTTCAAAACTTGAAAAGTTTTGCGTAAGATTTATGGTCCTTCGCGAGTTAGGAACAGTGAATACCACAGTCCATTGTATGATGTGCTATACGACAATGGCATTGTTTAGCGAATTAAAGGCACTGGCTCGATCATGTGATGCGGATGGATGAGAATGCTCCAGCTTAGTAGGCATTCGTAGTAGTACTTGCCAGTGGAAGCAGAAGAAAAGAAAGATCTCTATTCCGTTTGAAAGATCATGCGGAGAAGGGCCTAGCCGCATGGACTATTTCTGATTGACACCAAACAGCGAAAAGAAAGCATAAATGGAGCGCTGTTATCTCGCTTAAGCGGTGTCTTCGCAAAAGGGATTGATCTCCATGCTTTTTATTAGGGAAGGTTTAAACGAAAGTGTTTTGTACCTAGTGGGAGAGTACCAACACAACAGTTGGGAGAAACTATGCAGCTCCACGGGTCGCCGCTTAATTCAATTTCTTAAGGTGCACTTAACAAAAACTCAGTGGGTAGGTTTTTAGAAGCTCCTGCTATGTTAAAGAAAAAGCCTAATATTTATGTATGTATTCCTTAAGTTTCTTTAAGTCACGTCATTTCTGTGTGGTGTAGCCTTGTGCCTATGGATTCGTTCTTATGTTCATTGTCCAGCAGTATCCATAAAGGTATGCAGAGGAAATGAAGTGAGGCTGATCGGCCTGAAGCTCTTTGATATGCAAGAGGGGAATGTAACCCTCGCTACAGATAGAAAATTCTTTCATTTTCTTTTGTACATACATATTAGACAGGCTAAGCGTGCAATAAATTATAAGTTCATCAAAATATAGAATTTTCTCTTTCAATTCTTCGGTCAAATTGATTTCCAAAACCTTTTTGTTGAATGTCTCACTACTCCAGGCTTCATTATTTAATATTATTTTTGGATGTGTGATATATGTATGTATGTATGTTGATATTAAAATTAATTATTTATTGTATTTGCAGTCTTGGTCATTGCCCAGTGGTTCGGTCTAATGCCGGTACGCGGAATACTTGCAGTGAACGCGAAAAGCTTAAAATTCAGTTGGGTAAGCTTCCGCACCTGTTACAGCGTAGTCTACGTAATACTGACTAGCATCGATACCGGATTAACAATGAATATGGTTTTCAGAGGTGCAATGGAGGTGAAAAATATCTGTTAGTTTATTATTAACGGTTATTAAGTAGTTAAGACTGAGATGATGCTTTTTTCTCTCTCCCTCTATCTCTCTCTCTCTCTCTCTCTTTTTTTCCTTATATTTTTTTTAACCTCATCTGCTTGCAGCCCCATTGGTATTCCACGTAAATGCGCTTTTAGTTGCAATTTGTTTTCTACGCTTGGCCGTTAAGTGGCCCCAGCTAATGCTGAAGTGGCAGCGTGTAGAGCGTCAACTGCCACCACATCAGATGTGGCGTGACCGGGAAGCTCTGGCGCTGCGCGTTCATAAGGTCACCTTCGTATTGATCACATTGGCACTGAGTATGTAATTTATGTAACTAAGTATATAACGGCTAGGTGAAAGTGGAAGGTGGAAAAATAGTTGATTCATTTCACTACAGTATCTCACATCGCTGCATGACGCTGGCACAAGTAGTTCCACCAATTCGTTTTGAGTACGAAATAAAGTGTCTTAAAGCTGAAAAATTTACGTTTACGCCATGTCAAACAGGATTTATATGAGTTTGTCTTCGCTTCCTTAGATTGTTTAATTAATTTCTTAATAGCTTAGCTTGAGTTGAATTGGTTGACACCGGTGAGTCTCACTTAGACGGTAACACGTTCATATTCATATTGTTAACAGATACTCTACCTACGACCACAGCTGGATTTCAGTCACTGCTCTGTTGGATTTTTTGCTTAACCTCCAGTAGCTTCCTCGATCGTTTGGGCTAGAGGTGGGCAATGCTGGGCTCGATAGCTTTAGCTTCAAAAAAAGTCCTTCCCAAATTGAAGTACAATAGTTACATTGGCGCCATATTAATTGCTTTGTGAAGAGCAGGGAGCTTTTCTGCGGAAAGTAAACTGGGTTATTATCTGCTGGGTGCCACTTGACGAAACAAGATCGCTTCTGGTGCGTGCTTCACTTCCCTGAATAGAACTGCCAGATTTATAGTTATGGCGTGTACCCGCTTTATCAGGCCGCTACAGCTAAGCTTACAGGAACGTATCGTTTTTATGAAATTCTTCTAAGCTCTCCTAAGCCTTCAATACTTAAATAAGTCTTGAACCGGCGTTGACCTATTGGCATAGACTTTATCTTATACGAGGCCCCAAAGGAAGAAATCGCAAGGTGTTAAATCACAAGATTTTGGTTGTGAACTACGATTACCTCTTCGAGGGATAACACGAAGATCGATGGTTTTGTTGCTTGTGTGGCAGATCAATATAATCCAATTCGGGCCACAAAAAATCATTAACCATCAATTGATAATACAATCTATTCACCGTAACTGTTGCTCCAGCCTCATTTTCGAAAAAGTAAGCCCAAACCTCGGATGAGAAAATTTCGGTTGTTGAGTAGAAATCGAGGTGGAAATGGGGCTCATCAGTCTTTCTGGTTTTTCGATGAAATTTCGGATAATTTTGATGCATACCAAGGATCCGATCAGCAAAGACACGACTATGTTAATGATCAGTTTGAGTCTTTATGAAAAGTACGGGATAATAACTTTTGAGGAATGCCCAATTTCAAAAAACGGCGAGGTATAGACAACCCTGGGTTTCCTTCAATACTTTGGGCTACTGGAACAAGATTCTCAGTTGTTCTTGAGCGACGTGAACGCGTGTTATTCTCGTCATCTCATAATTAATTTGTCGCAACAGCTCCATTTGCCTCACCAATCTTGTGTTACGGTCCGAAAAGGTGTTTTACGAAAAATGTTTTAGTGTTACGCACCGTCTCTGCCACGTTTTCGCCATTTTATAGTGAATTTTAAACATTTCAGTGCGTTGTTCAAGCGTCCCGTAATAGCAGCCCAATCAAACTAGCACCTCTTATTAGAAGACCTTGATACCTTGCTAACAAGCTGGTCCAAATTAGTCCTCTACGACAACTTTTTGCTTCATACAATTCCTAGGCTTCCGCTGTAAAGTGGTCCCTCCTATGATTTGGTATAATCTAAGCAGGATTTTTTATTTATTCCTGAACAGAGCCAGATGTTTTTAATGTTATTAATCTAAAGTCTCACTGAATAAGTTAATAGAGGACTCCAAATCTCTGATTCGCCATTTCTTCCATCATCATCCGCATTCTATTGACCGCTAGAGTCCAAAAGAGAGGTTATGACGTCTCGCGGTACTAGATCTAATTGTTACTGCTCCCGGACTTTGCTGCAGCTAATTGTGCATCATGTTTCGGAAAACAAGATGTACTTTTAGCTCTTATTAAATGTCCCTTACGGCGACGAGTAAGATACTTACTTAATTTTAAAGTGCCGATTATACCTTTCAGATGCTGACTCGAGCAGTGTCTACTGATTTGTCACTTGTGCACACCTACTATGCTTTCGAAAGTAGACTATTGCATTTGGAGATATACAACAGTTACTCGAATCTTTTTGAAGAAATAAAGTTAGCCTGACTGGCCGATAGACTAATGCCCTCTCTCTTGGAATATTACTCTTGCTTTTCTTCATGAAACCGGAATGCAAGTCTGAGTAGCTTTATGACCCTGTCTCAACACAGAATACTCGCGAAACTTCCGAAAAGAATACATATAGAATATTTAAGTAAATTAAGAGCATCTTAACATGTTTTTTATAAAAGGAGTATCCGGTTACTTTTTAATATTGACTCCGTAAATTAGTAATAACTCCGAGTGTAATTTTTGTTGTTGATCTCCTTTCTTTAATTTCTCTTTTCAGCTGAACATCTCTTGAGTGTCGTCTCAGGCATACACTTTGCAATTCATTGCTCTCCAAATAGCGATCCAATCAAATCGTTTTTCATCGCGGTTTCTCCACACACATTCCTGATTTTTAACTACTCAACCTGGTTGGCGTGGTGTGGAAAATTATTGAATGTACTGAATACTTTTGGCTGGAGTTATATGGATGTGTTTCTCATGATAATCGGATTGGGACTATCCTCTTTATTCGGACAAGTACAGAACAGTTTGAATCGCGTAAAAGGAAAGGTTGTTAAGGGATTTTGGCTCACAAGGAAAGAAAGCAACTAAGTGAACTTGTTTTTGTTTTTTTTTTTATTTATTTATAGACAATGCCTGAGGCTTATTGGACTCGAACACGTCTACAATATCGTCTCATATGTGATCTCATTGAGCAAGTCGATGGTGTTGTTTCCGGAATGATAATGCTCTCATTTGCGAATAATCTTTTCTTTGTCTGCATACAACTGCTTAAGAGTATAAAGTTAGTAGTGTTAGACTTTTGTTTTTGTTTTTATTGTTTTTTGTATGGAAACACATGAAATTTGTATATCACTTGGTGACCTTAAGCAGGAACCATTTACTAAATTTTCATTCCAACTGATTTCCCTTCTAGCAAAATGCCATCCATCTCTCACTTTGTATATTTCTATGCCTCTCTGAGCTTTCTGTTGGGCCGCACTTTGGCCGTTTCACTCTATCTCTCCGAGGTAAACGACCGATCGCGCGAGCCATTATTAGTTATTAAACACGTGCCGAGGGAAGGTTATTGTGCCGAGATCGAACGATTTGGACATGAAGTGGCTGTGGATAAGGTGGCCTTGACGGGAATGCAGTTTTTTAACATAACGCGTGGCTTGGTATTGGCGGTAAGAAAAATGATGCACTGTTCGACTATTGAAACCCGGATTGAATTAAATAAATCTTTCAGGTCGCTGGCACGATTGTCACATATGAACTTGTTCTTATACAATTCCATGAGGAAGAGAATTTATGGGCTTGCAATTGATGTTTGTAATTAATTTTTATTTATTTTATTTTTTTTTTTTAATTGGCGCAAATGTGCCTTTAATTAAAATATATGTATGTACATATTTGATTGTATTTATAATATTTTATAAAATTTATCGCAGAGTGTTGTAGGTGTTATTACAAAGCTCTTCTTTCCACGAAATCACGTGTAATCAGCTGTCACTCTAGCGATGGATCGCATATAATTGAAATGGCTGCCTCTCAGATATAGCAAAGCCTGACAACAAATGTCCAACGGTGTCAAATCGTACGATCTCCGTGGTCAATTGACGCTGCCAAGACGAGATATTACGCGACAGGGAGTTTTCTCGCGCAATAAAGCCATATTTGCTCGTGTTGTGTGGCATGTGGCTCCATCTTGTCGAAACCACATTTGTATCGTCCAAGATGTGTTTTTCAAATTCGCTTGGTATGCAACCATAAAGCTCCAAATTGACAGTGACTACCACGCTGTTGTCATATTCAAAGAAGTAGGGTCCAATAAGAGCGTACAGCTACTGCTAAGTACTGCTTTCTCCGCACTGGATAAGGAAACGAAGGATATGGCTCTGGTATCGAACGTGACAAGACGAAATATCTCCTGTCATCACACAAGCAGTCATCGTACAGTCATAATATCGAGGTCGTAGATAATTTCTTCTATCTAGGAACCTGCATCAACATCAATAATAATGCCAACCATTAAGTCCCTCGCAGAATCACTCTTGCCAACGGGTGCTACTTTGGACTCCCGACGAACGAAAACCAAACGCTACAACTCCCTTATCATTTCCGTCCTGTTATATGGTGTGGAGGCATGGGTTATGACGACACATGATGAGTCGGCGTTAGGAGTTTTCGAGATAAAAGTTTTACTTAAAATTTATGATTCTCTACGAGTTGGGAAGAGCGAATTCCGTAGTCGATGGATTGATGAGATGTATGAGTTATACCGGGACATTGATATAGTGCAGCGTATCAAGAAGCAGCGGTTACACTGCTTGTGGTCATGTGGTCCCTCCTGTTTCGACAGTTTTCGACGTAGTACCCGCCTCGTTGGCGGAAGTAGAGGAAGGAGAAGATCTCCACTTCGTTGGAATGAACAGCTAGAGAAGGACCTGATTGTACTTTGTACTCCACGGTGTCCACGGTAGGCACGTATAAACGGTGTCTACACCAGTAAAGTAAGTAAGGAAGTAAGGGTCCAATCACAACTCCGAACCAAAGAGCACACCAGACAGTAAGTTCTTTTGGACATAATGGTCTCTCTTAAATTATTATTTTTGCTTATTTCCTTATCATCCGAGTGAGAAATGTGCCTCGTCGGTGAAGAAAATTTTGTTGGAAAAAACACCGTTCACAACGACTCTTTGGTAAAGTTGGCTATGGTTTTCTGATTCTCCTATTTAGAAGAGGTTGTGAAAGAGAAGGTAAAAGTGACGTTGTAGTCCAGTTTCTCCGAACGCTTTGCGAGGGCCAAAATTTGCGATTCAGAGGAAGGATATTGATAAGACTCCTACTGAACCATTCGTTTCTAGTTTCCTCCTGAAGGAGCTAACTACTAGAGGCAATGTCTTAGAATAAGATGGATCTAAATACAATATTTATATCCTCCAATTTGTGCTTTTGCGTCTTGGTGCTTTTCCCACAAATAGAGGGACCTACAATTTATACTAACCCGCCTCCGAACGGCTAATGGTTTTTTTTACGAGGAGCCTTTTTTCATGTCAGAAATAAAAACGGAGGGTTTGAATGTTGGTACGACACCAGGACTTAAACCAGAGCCTTCCGAAGGAAAGTACGCAATGTTAAACTCAGCTATCGCGGCCGCCGATCTAAATACCGCTGCATTTATCTGGAATATAATACACGTTTCAGGTGGGATGTCGCGGAAAGAGATAACGTACGGTGCCACGTTTCGGGTAGAACATCAGAATGGCGTTATTGAAGGGCCATTGGTGTTTCCTGAAGTTAATTTATGAAGCTTCTTAGCATGCTAAGTACAGTTTGACTCAGGGAATAACAGGTTTCTTAGTACTCTATTTGGTTTTCAACTGTAATGTGGATTTTACTCAGATATCTAAGCGGCTCCAGGATCTACTAAAACAACCCTTAAAGCCTAGGTTAAGGAAGTTACGAATTTCGTGGTCCTACACAACTCCATTGATGCCCTTTATCGAAGTTAGGAGAAAGGCAACGTTAGTAGTTACTGTAAATACTCAGAAATATTTCGCGGATGTCACAACTACTAGTCACGCCAGCGATTCACTAGACAAAAATCAAGTTAATTCAAATAAACCGGCGTAAGATGGTTGCATAAGGAAAACAGCGTTTTGGATGATAATTTATTATCTAAATCTCCGCGGAACGATACGCGCATAGGGAGAGCATGTCCATCACATTCGGTAGTCGGACGACAACTTAACAGTCTGTACACTGGTTTATCGCACCAAAACGGTCGCTTGATCACGATACTAAACAGTAGTACCTGTACCACCATAGGTATCATATGGTAAGTCAAACGCGATAATAATAACGGCACGCTACGTAGCATTGTAAAACGGGAGAAAATATGGTAGAATGGCAGAATTAGATATGGAGTGGAATGCCGACTTTGTCACGATCGATTGAATTGAAATTTCGCCAGTTTGATTTCATGGTTCCTTGGAAAGTTTCTTTTGGGAAGTGGACCAGTGACTGATCTATTCTTAATCTTAATTCTTTGATTTTGTTGTTTTACGGCAAGTGTATCCATCTATTTAAATATTTTAAATTTTTTTTAAGATAAGCTTAAATGTTATGCTTTTGTGCCCTGGAGATGTATCTGAGACCGGCAACCAAGTGCGATTTGCTTGAAGTATAAATAATACTTTCTTTACGGGTGAGGAATACCCAACTAATTGACAAAAATATGTTATATCCAGCGTAGATATGTTAGCGGTACAAGCAATTAGTAATCGTTCAACTTGAGTGTATGCACATTGATCCAAATGGCTTCCTTCGAGGCGTTCGTATTGACATTTTCGTGAAAGGCTTGGAGCAGCGAAGAGGTGACCCACACATACATATGTGCATTTAAGTAATAAAAAACCTAATATTTTCACTTGGACGATATTTAATTAGGATTTTTTTCATCGTGTTTTGCAATGCCAATTGGAATAAAAATTTAGCAGAATACAGAAATCCACAGCGAAGTGCGGCTGGGTCTGCTAGTTCAAACCGAATAAAATAAATAAATGACGTAATTTTAAAATTAACCAATTTTCCATTTAACGAGCTTAATGTTGTGAATATTGAGTGAGAATTTTTAATTCCACTCTCGGATGTATGAAACACGCGCTCCTTTCGCTGGTAAACTGTCTTGGATTTTATATGGAAACTTGCTGATAAGAAAATCTGAAAAAATCACATTAAAATGTCATTTGCCCACATTGCAGGGAAATTAAGTTTCATTAACAAATTACAAATAATTAAGCGATAAATGATGATGATAAAAGTTTTGTTCTTTAGTTTGTTTGCGCTCATAAACCATTTGATGGTCGAATTTACTATTTGACACACAGTTCCTTTGTATAAATATGACGGTGTCTGAACCGCAAGCAATAGTATAGTTATGAGGGCGTGGCTGCCAGACGTCCTAAACTTAAAATTATTTTTAGTGTTCAGTACTATTATGATCATTGAGGTATGCAAAAGTAAAGAAGAACTTTTGTCGTTACTCACCACTCAGCATACCGTAAAGTAGAAGCTTAAAAAAGAATGGACCCGCAGCATGAAGATGGTAAAAGGTAGAGTTAAAGTTATTTTAAGCGACTAAATCATTTTTACGGTTGAGCTTCTTAATCTTATTTTCCATACTTTTATTTGCATTTATTTTTTTACTGAAAATCAAAAACTACAAAATCTTAAATTTTGTATGGAATTTCATATAGAAAACAACTGCCCCATCCGTTGCGATTGCAAATTATTAACAAAATTATTTCATACGCTTCACGTAAACAGTTTAAGCAGAGGCAAGCCGAAATGACGCAGGAAATAAAACCACGACCCGATCGTGAATTACATAACAAACGGAGGACCTCGAAATTACGTAAGTGATACAATAAATTCAGCTTGCGCTTTGTTTAGGGAAAATACCTTAAATTGGAAAAATTTCGTTACTTTTATGTTTGTGACATAATGTCAAATTTTGAAAATATATGTATAATCGTAATTCTAAACATTTGAACACATTTTTAAATGTTTTTTCTAACCTGTCTCACACGCAAAGGTGGCATCCGAAGAGCAACACGCGCTGACTTCATACATAATGGCGGTTTTCACGAAGCGGTCGGTCCATGTAAGTAATATTCATAGTAGATAACAGGAAATGGGTCCACGCCTCCGCACCATATGGCAGGACGGACACGATGAGCTACTAGTAGAGTTTGGTTTTCGTTCGTTGGGAGAGGACTTTGCTTTTCAATTGCCTACTCAATCCAAAGTAGCGCCTGTTGACAAGAGTGATTCTGCGCTGGATTTCCAGGCTGGTATTATTATTGGTGTTAATGCTGGTTCCTAAGTAGATGAAATTATCTACGACTTCAAAGTCATGACTATCAACAGTGACGTGGGAGCGAAGTCGCGAATGCGATGACTGTTTGTTTGATGATAGGAGATATTTCGTCTTGTCCTCGTTCTTACCAGATCCATTCGCTTCGCTTCATTATCAAGCCTGGAGAAAGCAGAACTAACGGCGGGTTTGTTGAGACGATAATGTCAATATCACCGGCATACGCCCGTAGTTGTACCTTCTCTATCCAGCTCTGCAGCTCTTATTATTCTCTCCAGTATCAAATTTAAGAAATTACACGACAAGGAGTCACCCTGTCTGAAACCTCGTTTCGTATCAAAAGACTTGGAGAGGTCCTTCCCAATTCTGACTGCGCTTCTGGTGTTTTCTAGCGTCAGCTTACACAGCCGTATAACTTTTGCGGGAATTCCAAATTCAGACATAGCGGCGTAAAGGCAGCTCATATTCGTGCTGTCGAAGGCAGCTTTAAAATCGACGAAGGGGTGGTGGGTGTCGATCCTCTTTTCACGTGTCTTTTCCAAGACAAGATTAGGCGCCTGTTAAATATCTGGTCAATGGTTGACTTACCAGGTCTGAAGACACACTGATAAGGACCAATCAGTTTGTTGACGGTTGGCTTCAGTCTTTCACACAATACGCTCGACATGACCTTATAAACGATACGATAAGGAGGCTTATCTCACGGTAATTTGCGAGAGTGTGGGTCCCCTTTTTTATGGATTGAGCAGAGCCACGTGTCTTTTTTTATCTGCAGATGCGTCTTGCTTCCCTCTTCATCTCTCGATTTCTATCCCATACCGCACTTGTTGTGGTCGATCACAAGGTTGAGAGGTAGGCAGTCTGTTTCCTCTCCATCGCGACCCGACAGTCCTCATCGTACCAGCTGTTTTTGCGACCGTCACGAAATCCAATAGTTTCGTTTGCAGCTGTACGTAGGGAGTTTGCAAAGCCGTCCCATAGGTCCCGTATACCGCGTTGCTTATGAGTGCTCTCTGAGAGCAGGAGTGGAAGTCGAGTAGAAAACCATTCGGCAGCCTGTTGTGATAGTAGCTTTTCAACGTCGAATCCACGATATGTTCAAAGTTTCGCTTTGATGCGGATTGCTGTGAGACGGTCATCCACCGGGGTGAAAGCCAGTACTCGATGATGGAGTCTCTCTCCCACCACAAATCCAACACCACGCTACTTTATATGGCCGCTGTAGTAAATGTCACAAGAACTTACTCGCTTTCGTCCTTATATTTTTCATTTTGGTTTGTAACCGTTATTTCGCTGCAGTCACGACCAATACATCCCGCCGTACTCTTCAATGTCTTTTGATTGGAGCCAAGAAGGGTGTCTTCGTCGGCTTTCGTAAATATTTTACTGCATCAAATAAAAATTTATGCTAAAATATTTAAAAAAAAAAATATTATGAATTAAAAATGCAACATAAAAGCGATTCCGGTAAAATATTGCTCTACTTACCATTCAGACGCCCGGCTCCGTGTTAAATCTCACACTTGTAGCTACTTAAAATTGTTTTTATGCATATGCAAATCAGTAAAACCACATAAGTTTTATCGTTCCAGTGCTTGTGATAGCCCAATGCTTCTGCCTAATGCCCGTACGTGGCATACTCGCTGCCACCCCAAAAGGATTATCGTTCCGTTGGAAATGCTTTCGCACATGGTATTGCATATTGTACATATTGGCAACCATCGCCGACACCGGCCTAACCATAAATATGGTCGTAAAAGGTGTGCTGGATGTACGGAATATCGGTTTGTTGATACTAAGATCCGCTGAAAATCTTTGATGTTTAATGCCAGTTTTTTTTCTCCCTCCATTTTTATCGCTTATTTTTCCCTCAATAAATTTTAGAACCCTTAATATTTCATGCCAATATACTTTTGGCTTCATTTGGTTTCCTGCGTTTGGCCGCCAAGTGGCCGCAGTTAATGCGCAAATGGCAGCGCGTGGAGCGTCAGTTGCCACCACATCAGTCGTGGCGTGACAGGGAGGCTTTGTCGGTGCGTGTGCACAAGGTGACTTTCGTACTAATTACACTGTCGCTGAGTAAGTTGCCACTAATGAGTGTTCATGTAAAATAGTTGGTGAAATGTGAATTTGCGTTATTAAATTGAATTCTATTCCATCTCCCCCCTCCCCATCCCCCCATTCAGCCGAACATCTATTGAGCACCATTTCAGCCATACACTTTGCTAACTATTGCCCGTCGCGTGTTGACCCAATCGAATCCTATTTCATGACGGTGGTCTCACAAATCTTTTTCGTTTTCGATTACTCCACCTGGTTGGCGTGGTATGGGAAAATTCTCAACGTACTAAATACCTTCGGTTGGAGCTACATGGATGTGTTTCTAATGGTTATAGGCGTAGGATTGACATCTCTCTTCGAGCAAGTGCAGAAGAGTTTGGAGTGTGTGAAGGGAAAGGTAAATATGAACTAAAGGGTTTGCCTATAAGAGGTGTTATATTGAATGGCCTGGTTGATCCGGTAGATGTCGCTTTTGAAGCTGAAATTTTTTGAAAATCGACAAGTAAATAAAAATGAAACTACACACGCCTCAACAACGCATTGAAATTATTCAAAATTACTATTAAAATGGTGAAAATATGGCAGAGGCGGTTCATAAAACCAAAACATTTCTCAGTTGTCGTGAAGAAATTTGTCGAATCGCAATGAAAAAATTGGTGGAACAAAGAGTGCAGTTGGCAAAAGTTAGTGATATGAAGAATAAAAAACGTGCTCGTCACGCAGGAACCACTGAGAATATTGTTGCTGTAGCCCAAAATATTGAAGGGAACCCTGGTTTGTCCATTCCAGGACGTGCTTTGGAAGAGGGCGTTCCACAAACGTCATTATATCGTATTTAGAATAAAGACTTGGCTCTTAAGGATTGCAAAGTTCAGTTAATACCAGAACTCAAGCCGGCCGATCATCAATAACGTCGTGTCTTTGCTGATTGGCTCCTTGAATTGCATGAAAATGATGCAGAATTTCATCGAAAAATCGACTTGACTGCTAAAAGTCCATTTCCACCTCGTTGGCTATTTCAATAAGCAAAACTGTCGCATCTGAGGCTCAGAAACTCCATGTTATATTTTCGAAAAGCCCCTCCATCCTCCACACGTGACTGTTTGGTGCGGTTTTTGGTCCGATTGGGGTTATTGAAACTTACTTTTTTCGAAAATCACGCTGGCGCAACAGTTATGGTGAATGGATTGCGCTATGGAGAGATGATTAATGATATTTTTTGGCATGAATTGTATTGTATTAATCTGCCGCACAAGCAACGGGAAAAGCTTCGGGCCCATTTTATCACTATCACGTGAAAGATAAGGTCAACACCAACAGGCCATCTTTGGTTCAAGACCACAAAGATGGGTATCGTGAAGCAATTGAGGGCCTACAGCAGTCAGTTTGCGTTTTGGCGATGGAAAATTTCATAAAAAGGATACGGCCCTGTAAGCGTAGCCGTTGCGGCCGTTTTTGACTGAAATTGTTTTCCATTATTAATGGCATAACTTTCTCGTTACATTGAAATAAATACCAAAATAACACCTCTTATTAGAAAGCCCTGTATATTCACATATATAAGATTCATAAAATTTACGTTGTAAAACATAATTTATATGTGGTACCAAATGGCCAATAGAAAAGCTTCTAATGACTGACCTCAACCGTTCTTAATGCCATCATTTGTAATGTCATGCAACACAACAAAGAACTTAAAGCATCAAATCATTACTCCAAGTAATTCTCCAATGACAGATATGTAGCAACCCTCATCAAAAATACCTTTGAGCAAGTAAAAGAGGACTAAGTCCAGGTCAAACGAGTATTACATATATACATATATGGTTTTACCTTGTTTGAACTTGTGTCAATCGTTTTTATGGGCGCAGTTGGCAAGTGACCATCAGTGCGTACTATCATGCAAGGGATTATGGCTGACACTGACCTGATCAACAGATGTTCTGAGCATCAAATGAGGCAGTGTTGCGTGCCAACGAGCTTCATCGGTAAAGCTAATTTTTATTCATTTTCTATCAAACAACCCTCAGTCCATTAATTTAAGCGAGTTTGCTTCGGGTGGTCATTCGGATTCTTATCTTCATACCGAGGACTTCTAAAAAATATAAAATTTTCTGTAAAGAAGTGTGCGGTACTTTGAAGTCCTGCCAACGAGCCGGGCTAATGCTGATGGCTATCGAGCACACCCCGAGCAACAACAACAATATTTTCCTCTTTCCCGCGCTGAACGAGAACGTAAGTGAGTTATTTTGTCCGACAACGAACCGGTTAAGTGAGCTCAATGCAAAAACTGATGCAAAGACGAATAGACGAGTTTCGTGCATAATTTTTTGCAGTTCTATTTACACTTGTAACGAACTTTAAGGCTCTGAATCGGATGATGTGGTAGCTCAATCGCACACGAATTTATTCGAATTCATGTTTGAGTTGAAACTCAACGATGAAAATTCCTTCCGGAGAGCCGCTGCCGTTGAGTATCTCCCACAGATCCGTTCAAAATTCCCTGTTTTGCATATCCAAAAAACCTTAGGATGAACTTCGTTGACATTTTAGCTGAAGACGCAAAACTTTCTCCGCGGGTAAGTAGCTAAAATGTCACAAATCATGGTTCGAAGTTACTCCACAGGTTCAGGAGACTTTCTACTATTGAACGGATGGCTATGACGTCTTCAGCTGAATTTATAGCGAGTCTTAATATTCATTATTCTGAAAAACAGATATGTTAGAAGACGAAGTCGAGATAAGGTCTATAAAATCGTCACTAAACGTCGCCTCCAAGCAAAGTTTACTGCCCTCCCCACATGTTTCGAACGGTACTCTCGGTATTTATTTTGGCATAGATGAAGGGACGGGACGCCCCTGCCTATTTCTTCAGTACCTCATGGCATCGGACTCTTCTAAAGGGACCGGACGCTACTAGAGATGAATTTCTGTTTCCGACTTGACCTACTCAGCGGTCCAGTGATCTTTTTCTGGTTTCTGGTGACTTGAGCTCCGTTCTGAATTTGACCCTATGGGTCGTTTGGCTGCATCCGGTCATCAGTAGCCGCTGTGGGTATATTGGGTGGTAGTTTAACATTTCTGCCAGGTGCTTCTCTCCCACTACTTATAGACGCGCTTACTAGATGACAATCAGGGCGCCTATTCCCAATGCTGTTCGTTCTCCGAGAACGGTCTTGGGACGATGAGCTGAATTATTGTATTGTAGATAAAATTAAAACGCACACAGACTCTTATGGGAATAAATATTTAGAAGGTGACACAACTGCAAAACGTCGTCATAGCCAATTTGTAGCTTAAGTGGTCAGCGCTCCAATTCTATAATAAATGCAAATATTTTGATTTCAGGTTATGCCAGAATCTTATTGGACGCGCACCCGCTTGCAATATCGACTGATTTGCGAGCTTATTGAGCAAGTAGATGCCTCGATATCAGGTCTAACAATGCTCTCGTTTGCAAATAATTTATATTTCGTCTGTATTCAGCTGCTTAAGAGTATGAAGTGAGTGAAGAAGCAGAGAGCGATCTGATCCCTCCTTATTATATACCTTCTTATGTTACTTTAAATATTAAAGATATATTCTTCTAGCACAATGCCATCCGTTGCCCACTTTGTCTATTTCTATGCCTCGCTGAGTTTTCTCCTGGGACGCACTCTGGCTGTGTCTCTGTATCTCTCCGAAGTAAACGATCGTTCACGTAAGCCGCTGAGAATAATCAAGTTAATTCCGAAGGAAGGCTATCATCCAGAAGTCGATCGACTGTGTCATGAGATAGGCATGGATACCATTGCATTGACTGGACTGCAATACTTCAATGTCACACGTGGATTGGTATTGACGGTAAGTTTGGTTACACACTACCAGCTTATGTTCCAGTCCGGTTTCTAAATGGTATATGCTATTCCTGAGATGAGGTAAGAGAGAAAAGTTGAAAAGTGCTTTAGCAAGTATAAAAAAGAACGAAGAAAATGGTGCTCGCATAGGTCTGCAGTCTTACCTTCATCACTAAAATCTAACGATCAGCTCCTTCCACCTTCTTTTAATTTGTTATTCATTACAATCGGTCCGAGTCTGTCGCTCACTGAGAATTCCTTTCAATGTGTTTAAAGGGCTTCCCTGAGAGTAAAGACTTTGGCCTGGTATACGCTGAAATCATCTGGTAGCTTGAATGAGAGCTTCAATGAGGAGTTTCGTGAGAAAATATTTCCTGCCCTTCTACCATCAAATTTTAAATCTTCTGTGTAAACTTTAATATATCGGGCTGGAGTATCATATATGTTTGTCGATTCTTCCCTACTGTGAATTATAGCGCCAAAAATTTGAAACGCAGTGGTTAATTGGTAGAAAAGTCTCTTTTACTAGGGCTCTGTTGTTTCTATTCCCTTAAGCGAAATGCCGACAGCGATACTATCTGATGTGCTGCCAATTCTATAGGCCTCATTTGTAGTGGTTTTAAGCCCATCATAATACACATCAACGGTCTCTGTCCCTTGAATTGCACTAAAAAGGTAAAATTTTGTTTCTTCACTATTAAAAACCACCACACTAGTAGATTATATTAGAGGATGTAGTTACCCCGGATACGAGAATCCAGCGAAAGATTATGGGACTTTAACTCTATTTTCACTGATAACTTTTTTACAGGCACCGAGATCAAATTGCAAAGATGAACCCCAATTTGTTTTCGGGGAATATTTATAACCCAATAAATGCTGCACTTGGCCGGTTAAATATCTGGTTCATTCTGATGTGAAGTCAGGGAAATACATATTGGATTTTAGTTATCTCTTTCGTCAAATATGTTTCACCGTGGATAAATTCTTCAACCACTCATCCGAGCGGGAAGCCTTTTCATAACAATTCAGTTCAGTTTATTGTCTAGAAAGACTCCTAAAAACTTCGATGAAGCTCCAAAGCTTAGCCGAGCTCTGATTAGAACTGGGAAACTAATTGACGGAATTTTGTATTTCCTGCTGAAGTTAACTAAATAGTTCCACTTTATCAGAGTCAACACAGAATCTACTGCAGTTGGATGGCAATTAAACCTTTCGATGTAATACCTGCCTTAATTGAATAAAGTTTGTGCCCCATCCCTGCTCAGTTGCAGTAATAATTGAGTTCGACGTAGAATTCCAAGGCATGGAAGAGAGAGCATATTGAAGGGCTCCGCTATGCCCAAGAAAGCGACGAGGCAGCCAGTCCTTAATATATATGGGTTTCTCTATGTGAGAATATATCCCAAAAATAGCTAACCAAATCTAATTATATTGACAATTTCTTGTTTTAATTTCATGACAATATTTTTTTCAGGTCGCTGGAACCATTGTGACTTACGAGCTTGTGCTCATACAATTCCATGAAGATCAAAATCTATGGAACTGCAATTGATTTTTTCCGAAAAGCAGGAGTCCACCGCGATGCAAATCGAAGCAGTTCTAAGAAGAAGCTCAACAATATCGATATGCGATCATGATGCTCGTTCGCTCTTGTTTCGTTTCTGTCCAACTTGTTTTATTCGAATTTTCATGCGCTCATCATGCCTTTCTTTTTTTTAAATCGAGTTTTTTCTTCATAAATACAATGCAGCTTAACACAATGAGATAATTTATAAGAGTTTTTTTTAAAGAATTCTCGCAAACGTCGCTTGTACTTGAATTCGCTTTTAATTTTTTGCTGCTTAAGAATAATGTTTGAATTAATGAATAGATAGGAAGAGAGATAGTGAGAGAGTCTGCACTGCGACCTCTGGTCTGTTGTGCACTTCGTAGTTATTGCAGTGCTTCGTAGAGGCGCTGTGCCCTTAGAATACTAAAATGCACAGGAGGTGCTTGGATATTATACGACTCATGCTATAAGGCTCCTAGATGATTGAGCTTCTTTACACTGATGCTTTTGGAATAAATTTAATCGGAGAAATTTAACTTCCTGATTTCCAAACCTGCTGGATTTAATTTGCCTAATACATAGGCACGGACGTCATCCGCAGTTGTACCTTTCGAGAACCGTGTTATAAATACGGACTTCTTTTTCAGTACCACAACTAGTTCTTTACCATAAAATCTAGTTCTTGAACACAACTCGAGTCGAGTTAGGTGCTGAAGCAGAGGATAAATGCTTAGATGCAGTCGAAATAGTATTAGGATGTGCGACAGCTGCAAAGGGAAGTGAGCTTGAAGTGTGATTGTCTGCTACTTCCAGCAACTTTTCGGGAGCCCTTGTTACGCCTTCTAGAGGGTCTGAATTAAACGGCATCAAATCTGTATTTTTTTTAAATTGATAAGAGGATTTTAAAAGAGCGCCTGAAGCGGCAGTAACTGGATTTAAAGCTATCTTATCGTTATTATGTTTCCGATTCTTCGGCCCTGGCTTCAATATAGTAGAATTGAATGCGTAGTCATATTTTTGAAATTTTTCCTTAAGGACCTTCCAAATGCTTCCGTATTACAAGGAAGTCACTCCTTTGTTATGTTGTAATTTTGAATTCTTTTTGTCAACCTCAACCATTTTACATTTTACAAAGGTTTTTGCCATAATGAATCAAGTCCAGGAAACAACCCTTTAAACCCGAAGACTTAGCGTACCCGGGATGGAATAGATATCGAGAGCTGAAGAGGAAAGCAAGACGCATTTGCAAGGAAAAAAGAATTAGACCGAAATGCGTGAGTATGAGGAGCTTGAATAGCTGGCCGAGAAGGTTAACGCTCGAAAATTCTACGAAAAAATACAGTGACTTGAAGAATTGTTCAAGACCGGAGCAGGTTATGTAGGACACATAAATCCAATAGGGGATGCCCAGTGTATATTGAATTTATATAAATAATACTTCTGCGGCTGAGACCCAAATCTATGACAATGGAAAAGACGTGCCATAACCTGACTATGAGGAGGTGCGAATAGTGACTGCTCGCCTACTCAGAGGCACACTATTCTATAAGAGTGTACAGCTGCTGGCGTACGCCGATGATATTGATGGCATAGGCTTTAACTACCGCTCCGTGAGTCCTGCTTTTTCAGGACTGGATAAGGGAAGGAATGTCATTAAACAAAAAGTCATCACAAGCACAGAAATACTCTTGCCAACAGTTGCTACTTTGAACTGAGTAGACAGCTGAAAAGTAAAGTTCTCTCTCGAGGAACGAAGACCAAACTCTACAACGCGCTTATAGTTCCCGTTTTGCTAAATGGTGCGAATGCATCCGTTGGAACGTTGAGCTGTACGGACTATAAGATGTGTATGGATAAGAGTACACTAGCTTTGAAAGTTTTCGATGCAGTTCCTGCCAGTGGAAGCAGAGGAAGAGGAAGACCTCCCCTCAGTCGAAAAGACCAGGTAGAGAAGGACCTGGATGTACTAGGTATCTCCAATTGGCGTCAAACAGCAAGAAAAAGGAATGATGCCTAATCTACAATAGCTAGTTTATCTGTCTCGGAGTTATTCCGAAAAACTTTGTGTGTAATTGCAGCTCGTCCCGCTAACAATTCAAGCCACCAATGCAGTGAAACTTTGATGTGATCCACCATGACTTTAGTGATCTCAAAACCACTTAGATATCTGCGTTGACATAAATATTTTTTTGTACCAGTAGGCTCTCTTTGATTACAGCAATCTCTGCGACTAAAACAGTGGTTCAGATCACTCCGGATTGCCACCGGTTTTCGATTGTCGGTCTGTTGGATTTTTCGATTATCTTTCAGGCGCACTCCTCGGTCGGTGGGTTTGTCTTCAGAAAACAACAACAAAAGATTGAGAGCGCAGCGTTCTTTACTCTATTTTCTAAATCAAGTTTTCATGCGTGCTTCCCGTCCAGTGTTAATCCCAAGCAGCTTGTCTCTGTATCCATATGAATGAGGTTGTTGAGACATTTCAATACAAGCAAACAAGCGAAATTCTTAAAAATATTTACCCGCCTTTGTATATAACAATTTTAAAACGCAAATTCTTCGTAGCTCATCCTTTGTATGATGGAATTTACCCACTTTTGTTCATTCAACTTCATACGAGTCGCAAATAAAATATATGTATATACATACATACATTGCCTTTATCATGTCATGAGTAAGCCCCAGAGTTGAACTAAATATTTACGCAAATATTCCTTTTCGGTTCAACTGCAAATGCCGGATACAAAACATTTGATTTTACCCTTCCTTAATTGGATTCATTTTTAGGCAGATTTTATGCGTGTGTCTGCGTGTTTTTATCTGCAACAAACAACAAATCTAGTTTGTTTACCTGTTTTTTCCGCAATTTGTGTTCCTACATGATTTAATTTAAATTTTTTTATTTATCTTTCAGAGAGTGTTTGTATGGACGACGCTGCCTTTTTCAATGGGTTGCAAGCTTTAATTTTTTTCTTATGGCATTTCAAAGTTATAATAGTTGATTGAATGAAACAGTCGCTCTTACTTGGTAGTAGTCCCTCCGCTAAACTTATACTAGCTTTGGTAAAAAACAATCCATTTGTTTACATTAAATTAAAGTCTTTACTTAAAATAGTTGAAATTATCCGACCTATCTGAAATATACTCCCTTTCGCTCGATGACCTCTTGCCTTTTGCTTATTCGGGGGATGCATAAGAATCTCCTAATCAAACCCTCGGAGCTTTGGTATATGAGGCTTTTTCTCATTAACTCAGGTGGTACTTATACATTGAACTCCTTCGTGTATCCAGCCTTTTTCAACTGGTACCATATTGATTTTGGTGCAATGTTTAGCTCCTGGGCAATCGAAATAGTGCTTGCATGATGGTCGGACTCGACGATTTCCATTATTTTACCGGCATTGTTGGCAATTGGTCTGCCACACCGGGGAGCATCTTTTGCATTAAAAATTACTGGAACGCAGTCAATGAAACCGAAATTTTGCCTGATTGACTGTTTTATTGTAAGGACCATAAACACTATCTCATACAGCTCATGATTCCATCGGCTGCGGTATTCGCTGTTCCCAACTCGTAGAGAACCATAAATCTTGCGTTTTCTCTCGTAAACTCCTAATGACAACTTATCAGATGTTGTCATCGCCCATGCTGCCACACCATATCGCAGGACGGGAACGATGAGGGACTTGTAGCGTTTTTTCGTTCGTCTCGAAAGGACTTTGCTTTTCAATTGCTTACTTAGTCCAAAGTAGCACCTGAGGGCAAGAGTGATTATGCGTTGGATTTCCGGGCTGACATTGTTTGATGATAAGAGATATTTCGTCTGGCCCTCGTTCACTATCAGACCCATATCCTTCGCTTACTTATCCAGTTTGGAGAAAGCAGAATTCACGGTGTACGCCAGCAGCTGTCCATTCTTTAAGAGATTGTACCTACCCTATTCAGTAATAAATTAAAGAAGTTGCACTATTAGGAATCACCCTGGTTGAGTCCTCGCTTGGTATCGAGAGGCTCGGAGAGGTCTTTTCGGATCCCAGCGGAGCTTTTAGTATTGCTTGAGGTTAGTATACAAAACCGTATAAGATTTGGCGCATGGTAAATAAATATCTCCTCATTGTTTGATTTCCCTGGTCTAAAGCCACAGTGATAAGGTTCAATCAGTTTGTTGACGGTGGGCTTCACACAATACGTTCGACAGGACCTTATAGACGATATTAAGCATGCTAACCTCACGGTAATTGGCGAAGACAGTGGGGGTCCCCTTCTTTATGGATTGGGCAGAGCTAAATTAGGTTCCAGTTGTGGGGCATGCTTTGTCTGACCATATTTTGCAAAGTAGCCGCGGGCAACAAAACGTCTTTTCTATCGTCACTATCTCTGGGTGTTTGTTTTTCACTGTCATTCGGCAGGCTGGAGCAGTGTTCTCTCTATAGATTCAGCATACGTCACTAGATCATCCAAACTTATTGTTTTACCCAATATAATTCATTAAGGAACGGGTTTATCGATGGCTTGGTGAATTCAATCGCATTCCACTCTCGCTCTTCCAAAATCGGTTTCTGCTGCTGAAACTATTAGTGGTTTGCTCAAACTGATATCACAAAATTGTCATGTGGGCTATATTGAGAAAAAAACAACGCTCGTGTCGCTTGGTCGATAGAATGTTGAAGAAGAACATCTATGATTTCGTGACAGGTGCTGAATCGACAATTTGTGCGTATGGGCCCGAAACAGCAGTCAACTCTATGGAATTTTAAAGACGAGCCGAATCCTACAAAAGTTGTTCGTGCATGAAGCACTTCAAAGCAAATGGTTGCCTGTTTTTTGGAAAGACTGGACATCTCGCAGTTGTACTACTAGAGCAACGCAGAAGAGTAAATTCTGGGAGGTGCACAAGCATTCGCTTGCCAGTTGTCCTTCAGGAAATTAGAAAACCAGCCGAAGATGTATCCGTTTTCACTACGGCAATGCGAGTTCTCACAGACCGATTGAAGCAACTGCGTTTTTGAAAACTCAAAACATCGATTTGAAGGCCGTATAGTATTTGTCATGGCACCAAACGGCTTTTGTTTATTCCCGTACGTAAAAATGAACTGAGCGGTCATATTTTTCGACATCTGAAGAGGCGTTTGATGCGTTCAGAACGCATCTTTTGCGGATACTTAGTGTATTAGGCCAGGTCATTTCATTTGGATTTTTTTTTATCGATTTTTCAAAATATGATAAATTTGAGTACATTTGTCCGATTTAAGTCAAATATATGCCGTTTTGTTAGTAAGCTTGTTGCCAACGAGATGCCAACTTCATTATACCTCTTTCGTAGAAGGCTGCATCCCTATTGGCAAAAAATTCGGAGAGCCAATTTTCAAGGGCCTCTCTTGAGGCCAACTTCTCACCATTAAGCCCGTTCTTGCTGCCAGGTCCGGACTGTAAGTTGGGTGCATTGGGACTTCCCATCCGAGCACCTGAAGCTTCTGGCGCGCCATCAAAGATGTGTGTGAACTGGCGTTATCCTGATGGAAGACAATTCTGCCCCTCTTGATCAAAGATGGCCTCTTCTGAATGAGTGCGACCTTCAAGCGGCCCATTTGTTGGCAGTAGAGTGCCGAATTGAGCGTTAGGCCATAGGGGAGCAGCTCGTAGTAGATGATTCCTTGCCAATCCCACCAAACGCACAGCAAAACCCTCCTGGCCGTCAATGCGGTTTTGGCCACCGCCTGGGCCGCTTCTCCGAGCTTTGACCACGACCATTTGCGCTCGATGTTGTCGTAAGTGACCCATTTTTCAACGCCAGTCACAAACCGCTTCAGAAACGGGTCGATTTTGTTGCAATTCAGCAGCGATTCGCAGATGGAAATTCGGTCCATCATGTTTTTCTGCGTTAGTTCGTGTGGCACCCAAACATCAAGCTTCTTTTTGAATCCAACGTTATGCAAATGGTTCCAAACGGTATTCTGGCTTATCTTAAGCTCCTCAGCAATTAAATAAGTGCTCACGTGGTTGCGATTTTATCGCAATTTTGGACTACAGGCCTCCCGACGCGTGGTGCATCTTTGACATCGAAACTACCGTAACGGAACCTAGCAAACCACTTTTGTGGTACACGTTCGTTTACGGTATAGCGCCCGTAAACCAAATGAATTCTTTCAGCCGCTTTGGCTGCTTTTTCGTCTTGATCGAAGAAAGATTTTAAAATATAGCGAATTTTCTATTTGCTGGTGTCCATCTTTGACGAGCGCTCACAACGTACTGAGTCATTCAATCGAAAAACTGTCAAAGACAAACTTTTAGCGCGAATAAGCACGTTTTCAGCGCCATAGAGTATGGCATGATGCGATGACACGTAACACTAGTGCTATGGATAATAACGCCATCATTTAGATAAAAACCGAACGAACTTTTTACTTGACCTCATATATTATATATAAGAATGAGTGCAAGAGTGTATAGATCTTAATGCAGAATATAATAAAATAGGAACTATAAATCAATTTTCGATGTTTAATATTTGTTTTTGTTTTCTAAGCCCCAAAATACAACGGACCACCCTGGTATAGAAATGAAGTGAAGTCCACTAATTAAAATAAATTATATTTTATTTCTATTCAACATTCGTTTACACTAATTTTCTGAATTACTGTACAATATAATATGCTTACAAGTAGTAATACTTTCTTTTTGCATTTTTTTATTATTATTTTTTTTTTTTTTGGTATACTCTATAAGTACACACACACACATTAATATACATATGCGTGTTATACACACTTTAATGCGACCATTAAATGCAACAAATTTTTTACAATTTATTTAATTCTTTTTTAACAGTTTTTATATTTGCTAATCTTATTAAACTAATACTACCACACACACGCACACACTTTTTATTTATAAATATATTTTAAACTCTTCGATTAATCACAATCAATCACAATTATCTTTTCAAAAGTACAGCGAATTTTCATTTGGGAAGATTCATTACCGTTAAAAGTACAAATAAAATATTTTATTGTTCAACTATTTATATATATAAGTAATAACAGTATATAAATAAAAACTATATATGTTTTCAGTTGTGTTTTTTCATAAACCACTCTGAAGTGAATAATTTAATATTAATTTCAATTGAAAAGGATTTATTTTTTATTTTTTTAGTAGCATAACTTAAAGAGATCGAAACGGTTGGTTATTAAATCAATTATAAATAAATTTCTCGGCTTAATTCAATTTGTCAATTTTCTAGCGCTTACACTAAAATTCTTCGTTGATTTACTAAAACATTATTGTAACAATAAATAAATATTACTATGAAACAGAATTATATATATTTTATTTTATAAGTAAATATTTTTTGGAATCATTATAGATGGAGACAACTATAGGCAACAGTGGGACAAGCTTAGATTCAATATTGCATGAATATTTGACTGTAGATAATTTGTTAAGGTTGGATCCCAGACAATTTTTTTTTCTCTCAAACAAAAAAAAACAACACTCGTGTCGCTTGGTCGAGAAAATGTTGAAGAAGTACTCTTAATGCTGAAATTATACCCTAGACAAAGATAATATATTATGGAAGCTACTCACTTATCTATTATCTTTGAGCCCCGATTAGGCTTTGCTGCCAGCCAAACTGCAAGATCGAGGCCCAACCGTCAGTTGTGAGTAAAAATGAGAGTTGCCATACACAATCCGCTAAAAACTAATTTTGAAGTTAATATGTTTTTTTTTATTAATTCTCAGCAGAAGATTGCTTTAGTTAGAACAAGTTATTATGACGAAAATATGCAAAAACGCTTTGCGGGCGAAGGTACAAGAACCCAAACCCACCAATGGCTTAAATTCTTTCAAAAATATTAGGTTAAGCGTTTAATTCACAATTTAAGAAACAATTTTTTTTAATAAATAATTAACATTAGTTACCAAAAATATTAAATAACAAACAAAAATTCTACTTAAACAGTAAAAATTAACATTTTTTTGCGGGGCCTAACTTTTTTATTAAAAAAATTCTATCTACATATGTGACAATAATAGTGGATTAAAAGATATCTATTAAGTTAAGGATTAGCTAGTCGGATAGAATTTCCATTATTTTAATTAAAATTTGGTCTAAAGAGTATCAAAATTAAATTTAATGTCTAATTATATTATACTCAAAGTGTTTATTCAATTATACCCAAATATAGTTTCACCGTAGTGGCAAGGTTTGAAATTCAAAATGTTATTAAAAATGCACATTTTTCGGCGATCTCACGAGATAAAGAGTTTCGTATCATATTATTCGGAGTTGTGTTGCGTTCCATCAGGACAACTACAGAGCACACAAACATCGATAGCGATTCGCCAAAAGCTCCGAGAGCTTGGTTGGAAGTTCTTATGCATTCTCTCTATAGTCAATGATGACTAGATACGAAACTCTTTCTTCCGTGAGAGCGCACAAAAATCCGCATTTTTTATAACATTTCTGAACAGTGCCACTGTGATAGAAAAAATATTTCTTTGGATTTTTAGGTATATTTTGGGTATTTTATTACAAACAACGGCGTCTTTAATTGCAATTTCACTAAAATATTTTATTAAGAAACAATTCAATATTTAATTATATTAAGTTTTCGTAATATAATTACAATAATTTCTTTAATATTTACTGCTGAAGCAAATGTTTTTGAAACAAAAATAATGGATTTTTTTATTGACATAGTGGCACTGGTGCGTTTTGCACATCAGATGTTTAATGTTCCCCGATCTGACACTGCTGCCAACATTAGAATGTGAGATGGGGGAACGCTCTCAGCTGCAATTTGAGTGATTTTGAGTAAGTTTCGTATCTAGTCATCTTTGCTATAGTACGCGCCCAAAGTTGTTACCATCTGTTCCTATCGATGACAAATTATTTGAATGGTGCAGAATTGGGCTCAAGAGAAGCCTATGAAAATCGATTCCCTCAATTTTTTGCTTATAGGAATAATGCTGCAACTACCCATTTTACTTACCAACCGTCCATAACAGACGACGTCAAGAGCAATATACATATACAATTGTTGACGCTGCTGAGAGCGGCGAAATGTTGCCAGCTGCCTGTGTGTTTGCACACTTTTGAACAAATTCATAATTTTCGTCAACGAGTTTCATAATTTATTTGCCTTAACATAAACACAAGGCAAATATACATGATCTATATAGTAACAAATAATTAGTTACGCATTTAGTTTTCATTTCTTTTGAAAAAAACTACGCATTATCTTCGATTATTTAATATTACTTTAAGAAAGGCTATACTGGCAACCTTGTATAGCAACGAAAAATGAGCCGAGCCGGTTTTACGGAAAAATCAAAACTTCGTTGGTTTCTGCGACACAAACGTCAGCAACGCTATGGTAAATCGGTGACAACTTTGTGTTTACATGGCGCTCTCATAAGATAGGTTACTATGGACGGCTGGTACGCTCGTTGGGTAGTTGCAGCCATAAGCATTATGACTTTCTTTACCGTCAAACTGGCAAAAAAAATATAGAGTAAACTGGTGCATAAATCGGAAATTCTAACTAAGGTCAATGTAGCGTTAAATTTAATATGATATAAAATAATGTGTGTCTTTTTACTTGACCAATATTTTGCTTTGAAATTTTCTGAGATTGTATACCTTAAAGACAGTAAATAGTTTTAATGAAATACTAATTTTTTTATTAAAAAGATCGCTGGAAAATACATTTCTTTCCGCGACTAAACACATGTAATCCCTTAAACATTGGACATATTATTCTTTCAAGCTTCTTTTCTGTAAAGTTTTAATCAAGACAATATTTCAATTTATTACTTTTAAATTATTAAAATCAATTTCGAGTAATTCATGCAATATTGAACATGGCTAAAAATCTTGAGCAAAAATTTAAACATATTTTCACTCTATTTAACCGTTAGTTTGACGCATGCCACGGTCCTTCGTACCTTTATAATTTATGTACAACACATTGCGCCTGCGTAGTGTTATCCAAATTTTAAATTACTTTTACTTATATACTAAGCCATATTTACATAAAAAAAATGTTCATTAAAAATTCGTATAAGATCAACAATTACAATAAATATTTTCATATTAATTTTTGAAACCATTTAAGTGCATTCATTATATTAAGTATATATGCACATTTTTTAACATTGTGTGCGTCTGTACATATAATATATATAACCGTATACATACATATTTACATAAATATATAAATTCGGTAGTTTAGCTTTTGCAGGTTTCTTTGAGTTTCCGCGTTTTGAAAACGAGCTACAAAAAAAGAATAAAATAATAAAAAAGGGGCCTAGAAGTCTACATGATAAAATAGATAGAAGAAAGTGATTTATACGTATGAGCAATACTACTGAAATGTTTTTTAATAATTCAATATACGATTACAGCTATTACAGGCCTTTTCTGTTGCAAGCGACCTGCAAAAGAACGCCCAACTGGCTTATAATTTGCATTTGCCATACAACCCTGGTTGATGTTAGCTGCCTTAAAATATAAAAATCATACGTTTGTGAAATATTTCATCGAAAATAAAGTGTATAACTTATTCCGTAGCGTCTCTGCTAAATAAAAATATATTTAGCTAAAATTAATTATAAATAAATCCTTCTAACGATCTTACTTCTTGTTGCATTTGGAAGGATCACTTTCCCAAAAGCTTGACCATTGGCGAGTATTTCCATTTGGGTTTCTCTGTGGGTACTTAGAGATAAAGGGTTTTCCAATAAGAGATGTTATTTTGAAAAATCTGCTATCTCGGTAGATGTCACTCTTGAAGCTGCAGTTTTTTGACAGTAAACAACTAAGCGAGTAAAAAAATGGAACGATGCACGCTTAAACAATGCATTGATGTGATCAAAATTCACTATAAAAATGGTTAAAAACTGGCAGAGACGGTACGTAAAACTAAACCATTTCCGTAGTCGTGTGGCAATTTGTCGGATCGCAAAGAAAAAATTAGTGGAACAAATGGAGCTGTTGGGACCAGTTACTGATGTTAAGAACAATATAGAAATAACTGAGAATCTTGTTGCAGTAGCCCAAGGTATTGAAGGAAACCCGATATTATCCATTCCAAGTTGGTCTTTGGAATAGTGCGTTCCACAAACGTCATTACACCGTAGTTTGTATAAAGACTTGAGTTTTAAGGCTTATATAGTACAGTTAACACAAGAACTCAAGCCGGCCGATCATCAATAACGTCGTGTCTTTGCTAATTGGCTCCTTGAATTCCATGAAAATGCTCCAGAATTTCATGGAAAAATCAACTTGATTGCTGAGACCCTTTTCCACCTCGATGGCTACGGCAATAAGCAAAACTGTTGCACCGGTGCTTGGAAAATTCTAATGATTATTTTGTGGCCGCAATTGGATGGTATTGATGCCGCACAAGCAACGAAACCATCGATAGTTTAATGGAAAAGTTTCCCGACTGTTTTATGTCTCGAAGTGGTGACCGTAATTTTCCGTCGAGATCTTATGATTTAACAACTTGCGACTTCTACCTTAGGGCCACGTGAGAGATAAGGTCCACGCCAGCGGGCCGAAGTCGATTCAAGACCTTAAAAATGGTAATCGTGGAGCTATTGAGGGCCTAAAGCAGCCGCTCTGCGTTTTGGTGTTGCAAAATTTCATAAAAAATATATAGTCCTGTAAGTGGCGTAGCTGTGGCGGACATTTGCCGAATATTCTTTTGCATTATTTTGGTATATCTTACTCTCTTTATATACGATCATTTATCTCAAAACACTCCACTTTTCTTTGAGTCTAAAATAACACCTCTTATTGAAAATCACTTTATTATCACTTTTTTACCTTTATTTTATTAAATCAGGCTAAGTTTGTGTTGTTGTTTCGCCTGTTATTCGATAACCTACCAACTGTTCTTTTGCAGATCGCGTGCAAAAGAAAAGGCCCTACATTATGCTGCACGTCTTTCTAGTCTTTTTATTTAAGCACCAAGCAAATTTGGAGAAATTCTAAAAAATAAAGAAAACAAAAAAACATTAAGAAACTAAATCTCTCATTGCTCTCCGTAGGGTTTCTCTATGCCATACGACGTCTATGTATGCTTGAAAAATCATTTATGCTTTAATAATCTCGCTATTTAAGAAGTTTGTTTGTTCGATATATAATATTTGGTACAACAACACTGCCAAGCAACCAATCGATGGTTTATTTATTGTACCTCATTATTTAAATACAAGTTTCGTTATCCTTGCTTATCAACGACGATGCCTCAGCTTCATTCTCGGTTAATACTTTCGGTCGTCCATTGATGCTGCCATTGTCCACAACAACTACAACGTTTGTGCCAAACTTCAATGTGCTGTCCAGTGTATCCTTTGAAATGAAAGAAGACGAACGATTGAGCGTAAGAAAGTAAAGAAAGTTTGTATACAAAACAAATTATTTTCCATGAGTAGAAAGAATGAAAAATACAAAGACAAACAAATTATGCTCTAACAGTGAATTGTGAGCTCTACTGCTGGGCGAGGGTATGAAATTGGTTGAGCCAAATAAGTGACAGCCCATTGAGTCTGTACGAGGAAAATATTATATATTTTCTATTTTACTATTTTTCATTTTCAAATGGTTGGAATTAAATATATTGTATGCTAAAGCAGTTTTTTTTTATTTTTTTTTTTTATTTTTTCTGGGCTTCAAGTGAAGCAAAAATTTTCTGAATTTATAATAAAATTTTTATTCTGAATAAATATGTAAATCCTAGAGAATTCAGTAAATTTTGTACTAGTATTTCATTATTCAATATGAATACAGCAAATTAGGCTGCACAAAAATATATAAACATTAGGGTGATCCTAAATTTCACTGAGCAAACAATGCGATTTCAATGTCTCCCATTTAATTATGTAGAGAGGATTAACAAATGTTCGGTGAATTGGTGACTTTCAATTTGTTTTTGTTAAAACTAAAAATTCCAAATACTTTATAATTACTTTATTTGTCGTCCTTTCCAATTTTAGAGCGATCGGCTAAAATGGAGATAAGAAAACACAAGATAGCTGAGGATAGATCAGACGAAATTACACCAACAACGTAAACAGAAATTCACCATGTGATTCTCTTCGGGTTTCGGCGTAATTTACAGCCAATTAAAAATCTTCAGTGAATGCGAAATTGCATATGGAACGTTTGCACTGTATTTAAAGTCTATTTTTAAGTGATTCCGAAAACTCCCGATCAGAAATTTTTCCGTAGAGGACGAGCACCGCGAAGGTCGACCAAACTTTTCCACTGGTAATGCCACTGTAGCTTTGGTGACGTCCCAGATTGACGAAAGCCCACGATTGACACAGGAAATGATTGTTAATCAAATGGGTTTGAGTGCTGTATTGCGAATATTAAGTAACCATCTGGGATACACGAAAAAATCTGCTCGATGGGCACCACAAATTTAAGGCCTAAAAATAGGCTCGGTTGCATTCCGCTCAATTTTTCCTATCGAAAATGGTCAGTCCAGCAACTTTAAGGAAGTCATTACTATATGACAAATTTTGGATCTAGGCTGGAGTAGGCTTCAGAAACCAAAGAGCAGTTCATGGTATGGAGCCCAACTGAAACAAGCCCACCCGTAAAATCTAAGCAAAAAAAAAAATCAGCAGCAAAAGTAATGGTGTCAGTTTACATCACCTGATCTAATAGCGTAGCTGCTATTCCACTGGAAAAGGCTCAGACGGTAACTGTTTACGAAAAGTTCTGGAAAATTTGTTCGAAAACATGAAAAAAGATTATTTGCTGAGCGACTTTTTTACATCACGACAACGCGTCATTGAAAACAGCTGAAGGAATGCATAGTTTTTTTGGGATCTCTGGGATCGACAAAAAGTACGTTTAGCACCATATTCCCCGGGTATAGCACCTTGTGACTTCTGGTTATTTCCAAAAAGTAAAATAGTTTAGAAAAAAAAGGTCTTGAATAGCAACGAGGGGATAATTAATGCGGTTACTGCTGAACATGATAAGCTTAAAAAGCAAGCTTGCAGAAGACTGTTTTCGGTAGTAGATCTATTGGCTTAGGAAAGACAATAAAATCAATGGCGATTATGTGGAGAAGATAAAAAACTGAATAATTACAAACAGAATTGTTCTTTCTGGTCAACTAATCGTTTTTTCTTTCTTTAAAAAGCTCTTTATTTCATGTCGGAAATACACTCGGAAGGGTTGACATTTACTGCCGAGGGACGACAGAAATTAGAAAATTTAAACTATTTTTTTATTTAAATTAAATAAATGTTTCAACAGAAACGCATGAAAGTTTTTGGCGTATCCTAATAGTACTGGCATACAAGAAACATATAAACATATAAATATTTCGGCTATGAGCGAAAAAAGGTAAAAAAAACCCAAAAAAAGGGAAAAATTAAGAGATAAATAACTCAAATTCATCTGAGAAAATTCAAGCAGAACTTCTTTATGTATTCCACTCGACTACACTATGTACATAGTTGATAACAAATGTGTTTACCAAATCGTTGGCTGTGACAACATTCTTACGAGGTGTATTCAAAAAATAAAGAGAATTCAAATTTTTTGAACAAAATATTTATTTATACGGTTGTCGCCTTCAAAACAATGCTTATTAGAGATCTTTTTCATTCCGCGAAACACTTTTCACTTTTCAAAGACTTTAATTCTTTTGGCCTTTAGAAACGACAGCGACCGTCGTACTTGTCAAGCGTTTTTCGGTTTTAGCTGAAATGCCTCTTCTGAGATGATTGAGCCTGTTTTTTTACGTTATATCCACTCAACCATGTTTTTTTTTTATTACATATCAGTAACAATCTATACCTGCAAGGGAGCACTTAGCTAGAACTGGGGCCTCAAACCGAAATGGAATATAAACAGCAGCTTACGCAGGAAAAAAGGAAGTAATAGGGGTTTGTAGGGGAGAGGTGCATACCATCTCAATCAATACCGACGGGTTGAAGAGGGACTGCGTAGTGGAACGGGAGCATATTGTAATGATTTCAAAACCTCCTTTTCTTTAACTCAACGAAATTCAGTTAGCCATGTGTAATAGGTTTGAAGTATTAGGTATTGAAAAGATATTAGTAACTACACTGGAATATGGTATGAATCTATATACCCGAATGAGACAGTCGACATAGCTGACCTTATCGTGATAGGTGATAAATTTTAGCGTCGTCAACCATTGCAAGAAAACTCCATGGTGAGTCAACTCGCCGTCAAAGGAACATCGAATATGACAAAGAAAGAGTTAACGAGTTGGCTAAGTTCAAAGTATCTCTTAAAGAATCTGAAGCATACCATACCTTATCCGTTAGGAACGATGGAAGTCAGTTCATATCCAACTGTAAGATAGCGGAACCGATCTAGCCCAGGTATGATATAACCAGAACAAAGGAGATATTTAAAAGGTAATGAAAAAGTATATATAGACTTGAAGCCACAATAACGGATCTCGGAGAGCATGAATAATAAATGGACCTAACCTCTAACAGCAGTTGCCGAAGCTGAGAATTCTATCTTAAATGCTGAACAAAAACTAAGTACCCATTAAATAGCAAACCTTGACTGGCTATCCACACTAAGCTTTTCAGTTATATGTATGTGGTTTCATTAAGAACACTAAGAGGTTTGAACGTAACGATGGTGTAACGAAACGGCGCTTCCAGCGCTAATTGGGACGGAGGTTTTGATCCTTCTTAAGCACTCTTACACTTTTCTTTAGCTTTTAACACACCTCGTATTATATGCATACATAAATATGTATACACAATTGCAGTCTTACTATCAGCCAAGCGTGCGTGGGAAGGCTTCGGACTGCTAATGAACTCGGAGAGGGACATCATTTAGAAAATCCTCTAGTCAGGATTCTAAGCCACAAATACTCTGCATTTGAGCACACATTGCCAATTTTCAGGGAATAGAGCGAACTCTTGAAATATCAGCATACAGGGCTAAGAGCCAAGGACTCACTGTGAACTTAGAAAAATCTGTGGTCTGTCCTCATGAAAACCACAAAAACCCATAACACTTAAGCAGTAATAACATTGCTGATAAAAAAAACTTAGCTGAAGGAGAGACATATCAAAAGCAGTGACAGTAAGGCCTTCTTAATTTCGAAAAGCTATTCCACCAAATCCGGAACCACTACCAAAAATGGTGTATTGGTTTTACAAAAGTGTTGGAATAAGTACGACGTACCTCTTTGCTGAGTATTATTATTAGCACAAGCTCAGCAAAGGTCGGTTCTGGATGTTATACTTGATACCAAAGACCTTGACAACAGCGTACAGTCGGTGCCCTAACTGTGAGGGAAATGAAAGCATATAGAAATTCGTAACAGTACTTGGACGAAATGTAGAATGCGACTGGAAGTGTAAAACATTCTGTCTGACAATAGTACTTAGTTCTTTCCTAATAGGACAGCAATGGAAGAAGGTAGGACAATCTGTGATACTGAGAACATTCATAAGAATACAGATGGCTCTAAATACCAGGCGGATAAAGGAGCAGAGTTCTTTTTCGACTGCCTCGAATACTAAGGCAGCTTCAACGACTGCAGCTAGAGTAACTGCAACTCTTAATTCCCAGCAGAATTTGTGGACATTACTGAAAGTACCAAACAGGCAACTGCTTTAATGGGAAAGTCTATTAGATTTCTGAAAGACAGCCAAGCAATAATTACGCTACACAGCAGACTTCAAATATGAGGGAACATGTAAAGAGTCAATCAAGAGCCTATCGCGAATATAAAAGACAATGAGAAGGTGAAAAGTTTGCCCTTCTTACGAGGATATCACCTTCGTTTGGCTTAGACCCTTCAGCATTTTGAAAGATTGTCTAAAGCAGTGGAATATAGAGAAACAGTTGAGGTGCTGGTGCACTTCCAATGCAGGATATACGATAACTTATTGTAGAGCGGAACTTAGTATTGTACAAGCAAAATAAGTGGAGTCGGCTGTGTGCAGAGTATGCACAGAAGATCACAAAACCCGGCAAGAACATCACATTTTAGTTACGGTTTAAGATGATTGAGACGTCACATCAAACCCGATGCTTCCAGCTCTTATTTTACGGAATTGAACACCCACCGTTGGAAGACAGGAAAACAGTTCAAAAAGAGTTCTTCTTCTCTTAAGTGGAATCATGGTTGCCACATGTACTCACCAACACAATTTGCATATTTTTCAAATGACAAAAACATTTTCTTATAAAATTAATTAATATTTACCTTCTTTAGCTGCACTGTATAGTCTGCATCCTTTGTCCACAATATATTCTTTGCTTTTATAGAATTCCGATCTCTGTAGTTGTTGGAATGACGGAGGGAACGCACTCGCACCTGAAAATAGAGATGATATGATTATATTCTTAGTAAACGACCAAAAGATCAAAGGAGCTGTAATTTTTGATGATAATGCAAGACTTCGACAAAAGTCAAAGCGGTATTACTCCATTGTGGCCTGCGAGAAGCAAAGTTAACCAAGCCATTTTTGCATGGGCACCATCTTATTGAATTTACATAATATTCAAATCGTGTTCTTTAATTTTGGGTGAAAAGAAGTCGGTTATCCTAAGACGACAACGCTTCGAATTGACAGTGACAGCCTTGCCGTTGTCGTTTTTAAAAGAGAGAGATCCCATCGCACTGCCGGACTTTCTTCAATTATTTGAGAATTCTCTGAGTCACAAATGCGACAATTTTTCTTGTTTATCCCCCCGAGTGAGAAATATGCCTCGTCGCTGAGGAAATTTTTTTTTCTCGAATTACCGCCGTCAACTGCTTGTTGTTCAGTCACTCAATCGACGTACTCGTACGCACGATATATTGCATAGTGAAGGGTCAGCTGATTTCAGTTGTCGTGTGGGCTGGTCTGTATATGGATGCAAGGGTACGTAGGCAAATGGCAAAATACGCCATATGCACCTGTAAGAAGATCCCAACTCTTTGGAACGTCGAGAAATATAACTATTCGGGTCTTCGGCTACACTTTCGCTTACTTTTTCGAGCAAAACAATGTCTCTTTGATTTTTTTTGCATTATTACCAATTGCTTGAACAATACAACCATTATGTGCATCATAATCTTCTTAATTTTTTAGAAGATTTTAACAATTTCCATGCGTATTGAATGTTTGTTATACAACAAAGAAAAATGGTAGAAGTGATAGCTGTTTTGTAGATCACCACATCTCCTCATCAGACTTCTTATGGCAGGGATCGAACCAACGGATTCTGACTTAACAGGCGAGTGTTCTACCACTGCGCCAGCATCAACCACATAATCTGTTGTTGTATTATTCAATTCATTATTAACCAACAACTATTAAATGCGCTTATTTAGCCGCTATTTTCTTAACAGCTTGGTTAGTGTGTTGTGTTGGAATCCTCTATACTTTCTGGCGTTAATTGACTGAAAAATGTATAGGCACGAATAAGTGTCAGGTTCAACCTTTATATTGTTGCGAAAATGCTAGGCGAATGTCAGATGAATGAGAGAAGCCGATAACTAGTACATTCTAGAAACGATAACACGAGAACCTTCGATAGCGAACAACTCGATAATTCTACACTTTCGTCTACGAGCAGCCGACTGCTATATAAGGGCGACACTCAGCTGCCAAGTCAAATCAGTTACAAAGTGAACTCGTTTGCGACAACATAGAGTATAGCGGAATAAACTATTTGAGTCGTAAAGTAAACGCGTTGGAGATTACATTTAAGTAAAGTAAATTTTGAAAGTTTATGCAAGTGATTATAGCTAGTAAAGTGCATTGTAATTGAATTGTGAATTACTGAGTAAATAAAGGAAATTAGATAAATTCTTTATAACGAAAGAAACTGCAAATTAAGTTGGCGTTTTTTATTTAACAATCCCGAGAGCGTACCCGGAGGACTCAGAAAATCATCGAGGTTGACTTAGCAAAATCGTAACAATATTTACAATTTGCTTGATTTGACAGCCCTAAACTCTTGAAACCACGAAATGGATAACCCTGTGATAAATCTGCATCTACTCCCAGCGGCAACGTCTGTGCTTAATTCACCATCGAGTTGCAAAAGTCGTAAGATGTTGCCGTTGTTAAGAATGCTCACCAAACTTTTCACAAAGCAATCGAGGGAAACCTCATCGAAAAAGCAGACTTCAAGCTTTTCTTGACAGTATCCAGCAGTGGAATGCACACTACCTCTTTATAATATTGAACCCAATTTCCCAAACTTGAAAAAAGTTTTTTGCAATTATGCACTCACCGAATGTACGCGATCATAGGTGCTATTACCACCCAAGCTAGATGCAATCGTTGTTTCTCGAAAGCTGGACTGATCTCTAGCAAAACCGTTATTGTAGTAAAGACTCCGCCGTTTGCCCCAAAGTACATCCTTAAAGGCCACACGGTAGCGATGAGACATCACATTATACAGAATAGGATTGATCGTACTGAAATAAATGGTGGAAGTAAAGGTGTAAAGGGTCATACATTAGCAATTTCATAAGTTGATTACAGCAAAACACATACATACATACATACATATAAACAAATTACTGTTCAAAGTTATTTGATATTCTCAGATTTGATTACAATACTCACCAGGAGATGTAGTAAGAGAATCCAGCAACAAAGAACATCCATTCGTTTATCTCTTGAAAATTATTCTGTTCTTTGGCGTAGAGGAACCACAGCCGCTGCATATGAAATGGAAGCCAGCAAATGAAAAAAGTTAAGACGACAGCGGCTGCAAAGAGAATTTTAAATTTATAATCTAAACAAAATTACTAGATCGAGCTGTATATTTTTTCATCTACTAGCAAATTCGATCACACGTTACTGTGCCTTTCCATTATTTCGTTAAATTATATTTAGTTAAGGCTTTGCAACCGCTAAAGAGATTTTCAGCCGAGCTCCACCTCCAAACTGTTGTGAGCGTCCTGATGTTTTTCTTACAACTGGACGACCTCTCAGTCCGTTTAAAGCCGCCTCAGAACTGTTGCTGGAATTTTATGAGGAGTTTTTATTTCACGTCAGACGCTCAGAGACACTCGGGAACTCTCCAGAAAGCCCTTCCGCGGGGCTACCGCAGTTAGAAGTACTAATTTTCTGTATGGAAGGTATGCAACGCCGCAATTACAACGGCAAAAAATTAAAAGTGGCTTATACAGAAGCTGCCCCACATTTGCGGACATGTTTTCGACTCGCTGATTCGGCACTTTTAGTTACTCTGGGCCGGGGGAGTGTATGGAAAATATCGAGTAAATTGAACAAACTCTAAAAGTAACCAAATCTGGGTGTTTCTGTATTGAAAATTCCTTAGGGGACTCGAATCGAGCATAAATTTCGTATATTCAAATGCATTGAGAATTAATCTTAAGTGCACTTAGACCATGAGCCGCTGTTTCTCAGGTGAAAATTTAAGATTTCTTAAATTAATAATTTTTTTTTTCAAAAAAAAAATAATAAAAAAATAATAAAATGGATTTATTTAGCCTTAACAAATAAGTTCTCAAGCTAATGCAGTTTATACCTTTACAATTTTGATGCAATTCTGATTAATTCTCCTAAAAACGTTGAGAGTTCACGAAGTTGAGTGAGTCAGCGAATCCGAAGTGGCTCGATGTGGGAGCACTTTGCACATTCCCCCGAGAGTTTTATAGCGCACATACATGTGAGGCCTGCCAAAACACAATATAAATTTACTGGAACGTATGAAAAGCACTTGAAGCACTGTGAAATTTCCAATAGATCTACATTTTATTTGCCTGTACTTTTGACAATAGATAAGGGTTACCACGCTTACCACTTCCGCCGAAGTTTTGGCAGCAGACAAAGCGCACATTTTGCTTTATTTTTTAGATATTTTAGTTATCTTTATTATTAAGTTTTACTCACGGTGCTAACGTGAATTTATTTGTTAATGCTATATAGGCCGAAAATCGGTTCAGCGGTAGCAAAGCGCCAATTATATACTCCTCGGCCGCCATAGAGGAGGGGTTAGCATTGTGTACTATCATTTTAAAAGCCAAGTTTCGAGTTCTGCTGCGACCAACATCCAAAATTATGGAGGATTATTTTTTTCAGTTGCAATCGTCCCTCAGAAGAGAATGTCAAAACCTCCGAATGTATTTGAAAAATTCCTTATAAAAAGAAGTCCAACGGCCGGAGATGTCTTAGTGAAAACTGGGACCTACTGTCCATTTGTGGGAAAAACAACAATACACCCCCAACAGCTTGAGGAAGAATAATCACTTCAGCGGTTGCCAAACCACCAAAAATAAAAAATGTATGTATATTATGTATTACCAATTACAGCATAATTCGTTTCTTAATACTCAATAAACCACATTTATTTTTCAATTGTAAGAGTAAATTTTTTTTTAATATACAAATTTTATGTGATGTCAAACTTCGAAGTTTAACCGAATTAATAGAGGAAAAATTCAGACCACTTGGTAATGGGTTACGAGGGGTTATACGTTGAAATACCCCCCATGTAAACTGTTGTACTCTAATTTTCCGTGCTCCCAACTTCAATAGGGCATACATTCAATACTAAAGGAGCTCTCATAATCGGACTGCATCTCATCTAGTAAAATTTTTCCCCAAACCCCGATCGCATAAACTCTAAGCTAAACCAATACCCTCTACAAAAACAAAAACTATGTATTTCCTAGGTGCAGTACTTTGCGAGGATTTGAGAACCTTCTTTTTTGTCGATTAAATATAGAAAAGTTCGCCAGGTCGTATGCGCAACATTTATCCTAAAGAAAATGTAAAAATTAAAAATTTATGTTGAGAAGTTCACTGATCGTTATACAAATTTTTACAAAATTCAACAATAGCTTATCATATTTGCATTCGATTTATGTGAAACAAACAGATTTTGCTCTTCACACAATCATTGAAAGTGGTGCAAGCCTTGAGTGAACTGTTCCCAAAATCTATACTCGGTCCTTCATCTTACCAGTAAAATTGATATCATTTTTATATATTTCAATGAATTTAATATTATAAAAATATTTAATTTTTTAATGTTTCGCAACCACAGGTTGATATAAAATACATGGAAAAATTTATTATTCATTTATTTATGCCAGAGTTTTAATTCTTAGATTTCTAATTATAAATTTATTTATTTTTTCATTGTATACCCACTGAAAATAAAGTTTCGACTTACCTAACATTCGTATCACAGCTTTCCGTGACTGCTGGTGTCGCGATTCACGATGCATTGAACCCTTCTGAACGCCTAGACAAGTAGAAATAGAAAAGATGATCAAACTTACTAGACGAAAAATATTTATATGAACATGAAACTAAAAATAATGCAGGTTTAGCAGTGAGAATTCAGCTCAAGCTAATATGGATATACAAATTAAGCGGTAAAGCCACTCTAGAGGTTGAAAAATAGATTCAATTTTTTTTTAATTTATTGTAGGAATATAAGAAAACAATCAAATTTCTATTTAACCATTTCATTTAACTTATATTTACATATATAAAAATATGCTTTAATAATTATCAGGTGTACAACTTAGCTTCCGCCGTTTTCCGATAGGTGGCCGTACCGGCTGAGGCTGGTTGCAATACATAGAGTGTGCCTTTAAAGTGAGTGTGGACAGTGCCTAACGAATTGTCATCGCCGTTTCAGTGACAGTTGTTCTTGTTTTCGTATTATTCACGCTCGAAAATGTCCGTTTATGTGCCTAATTCTCGCCATTTGCGGGAAGTTTTACTTTTCTGTTACAATTCGAAAAAAAAAATGCAGCTGAAGCGCATTGAATGCTCTCAGAAACTTACGGTGATGCTGCTCTGAGTGAAAGAACGTGTCGGTAGTGGTTTAAACGTTTTAAAAATGGTGATTTCGATGTCGAAGACAAACATGGTGGTGGAAGAGAAAAAACCTTCAAAGATGAACAACTAGAAGCATTGCTTGATGAAGATTCGCGCCAAACCCAAGAAAAGCGTGCCAAATCTTTGGGAGTGAGTCAGCAAGCTATTTCAAAACGTCTAAGGCCCTGGACATGATTCAGAAAGAAGGAAACTGGGTGCCGTACGAGTTGAAACCGAGGGACATTGAGCAAAAGTTGTCAAAAAGTACCTGGAAACGCTGAAATGGGAAGTCTTGCCCCACCCGCCGTATTCCCCAGATGTCGCCTCTTCTGACTTCCACCTGTTCCAGTCGATGGTACACGGCCTGGCAGATCAACATTTTCAATCCTTCGAAGAATTGGAAAAATGGATTGCTTCATGGATAGTGTCAAAAGAGGACTCCTTTTTTCGAGCCGGGATCCGAAAATTGCTGGAAAGATGGGAGAAAGTTGTCGCTAGCGAAGAACAATACTTTGAATAATATATCTGTAAGCACTTTTTCGCAATAAAGCTTTTCATTTTGGAAAAAAACGGCGGAAGCAAAGTTATACACCTGATACTTTGTGGTGGATCATGGATTAAAATGTTTTTAGTATGAGATTTAGAACAGAAAAGCAAAAAGTTGTATGATCTACTACTAACTTTGGTCTTTGGAGGTACGTACGAATTTAATCTTTTAACTAATTTTTGTGAAAGCGGCGCACTTTTCTTTCTAAAAATCTTGATTTTTGACTAAAAAATATGAATTAAACTATTTGAAAAAAAATTGTTTACATTCAATCGAAGAACGGCTGCGGACTTCCAAAAAAATTTATTTGTGAAGCTGCCATCGAAATTTCAGATAATTCGATTCAATAGAGTCCAAATAATCTGTCTTCCCAGTTTGAAAAATGAGATTTTGAGAAAAACGCGCTTAATATTTTAATTGTACTCTGCGCAGCAAAATAAAAAGTTCAACTTTTTTTAATTTTGTTACTTTAAAACCAACTGCATATTATTTTCTAAAATCCTTGAGCGGCTTGGTCCTTTACACCTGTGAGCATAAAGTAAGGTGATATTGTTTGTGAAATGAAAAATCTTTATTTATTATTCTATATTGATTTCGTCGTTTTCAAAATACTCCCCTGCAGATGCCATGCACTTAGTGCACTTAGTACATTATAACATTATATTTCTAGAAATTTCTGTAGTTGGTATTTTATCGTAATCGTCATGAGATGCAGTATCGCTTAAAATGGAGATAGTTAGAGTTAGTTCGACCCCGTCTACAATGTTAAGCTTTGCTAGTGGTAAGACATTACAAGTATCCGTAGCTGAAAATCGTTATTTACAAAATAAATTCTCGTAATTCTTAAAATAAATTTTTGGTCTTCGAAACTTAATTCGGACTAAAATTCCACAATCCCATGAAAATTGGCGAAAATTTTTATACCTGCGCGCACAAAACCTGAGATGGTACGAGTATATTAATTCCAGTACCAAGAGAGAAGAGCTATTCACATCAAAATTTACACCGACCGGTTAGAATGACGATTTGAACTGTTTTAGCCAGTTCCGTCTGTCCAACTGTGTGTACTCAAACTAGTCCCTTTGTTCTTGAGATATTTCAGCTAACTTGCTTCAACTTTCAGTAAAGAACTTAATGATAGTATTCTAAACGGATGGTCTTGCTTCTTTCTTTGGACAAACATCTCAAACATCGAAGAGCGTGCGCTTGAAAACTGAGGCTTTTCTCCTCACGGTAAAAAAAATTCACCTACCATCCTGAGAGGGGGATATCAGAATCATCTTACAGTAATACTTGGTTAAAAACTTGGCTAGAGGAAATATGGTGAAATCCAATAAAACGCTTCCAAATTGGAATTCATTCAGATTGACCAATGTGCTAAAACGTATGCTCCGATCCCAAGTGGAGAACATGCTTCTGAACCCAGCGTTACCCAACTCCCGCCCAACCGACCGTGGGGCGCGTCTGAGGGTCAATCAAAAAATCTAACAGACAAGTGACCGAAAACCTGGAACAGTTCGGACTGCACTGAACCCAAAACCAAAACCGATAGCGGAAGTTCGCGATTACACTTACCTCTTATACTAAACAGCTACAGATTTGTTCATCAACTACAATACTATAATTAATTAATTAATTAATTAATTGCATGGGAGATCTTAAAGAGGAAAGCATTTCCAAAAGCGGCCACATTTTAGACTAGATGATCTTAAAGGGATGGTAAAGTTAAGCTCGCTAAGTTGGATGGCTACTATTCATAAATCCTCTTGCTCATATGAAGCATTAGTATGACGAGCGACATTAAAAAAAGTGTGACATTAAAATTCTGGAACTGGAGTAACGTGCATGGATGCCTATATCAGGCGCTATGTCATTTGTTGATTTACCTCAAAAAAGTGTCATCACTGACATCAATTGATGAAAAAAGCTGCGGTAACAACCATCCTAAGTTTCGTGACAACCGGATAAAATCCCATAAATTTGTAGGGATTTGATAGCTTCTAGAAAGCTAAATGAACAGTACCTCCAGGATAAGTAAAACTTTCCTTGTAAGGAAGCTTAGAAGATTGGGAAATAGGCCCATCTATAATGGTAACGGCAATTTCGTCACCCGAGCAGAGATTGTGAGCACTACGTAAAGTGAAATGGGTAACCTATCAGATTTCTTATAGAAAGCCAACAGCAGCTGATCACTTATGTGTGGTAAAGAAGCTACTGCACCAACAGCCGATATCGGGCAAGCAGCGTGAATATCACTTGAGTGTAGAAAGTGGCTGAGCTGACGCCTTAGACCTTTCCGCGTCTTGAAATATTAATTAGAATGGTAAAACAAAGAGGAAAGTGAGTTAAAGTTATAGGACAAGTCCAGCTTAGGGGTATCGCTCAACTACACTGAGACAGCGTATATTTCAGACAGGCCATATTTTTTGCTGAAGGATCATTTATGCTTGAAATATAATCTCCACAAACTAGATAAACTGTAGTCCGCAGAAGGAAACACTGGAGCATTACCCTTACGAGTGTTCGGCCTTCAACCGATTAAGGCCTCAATGCATCCACGGTGCTCCGAGTTCCAGCCTTATGATGTTAGGTGCACATGGGTGAAAGAAAAACTTAAACTATACAGTGGAGCACAGTGGGCCTACTCAATGGCTTCGGCGCTACTGCCCTCCTATTTTTTTAAGCAACCATCAGTAGTAATATCGTTACTTTTTTGAAAAGCTCTTAACTGGATTCCTACATAATTCCGCTTTAGAAGTTGAAAACTAAAAATTTTCGCGCTTCGAAATTAATGTAAATTCCAACTGCGTTACCCGTACATTCCACATACACATACACACACACACATATATTTACTTACTCAGTGTTATTTACTCACCTAATTGCAGTGTCGTGCTAAATCTTATTTGCGCACCCATCTTTCCATACAGGATGATTATGAGTAGCATTGGTATAACGAAGAATAAGCAAAATGAGAGCTCAAATAATGGGAACTTGTCAGGATATTGAGTCATACTACAAAAGGCGGATTCCGGTATTGTCGCTTTGGCTTTAAAGATTGAAGGGGAATCAAAAGTAAAATGAAATAAATATTCTACACTTATATATGTATGTAAATATGTGAGATATAAATATAAAAATATAAAATTCGCTTGAGAAAGAGATAGTTTTCAAATAAAAGCTATATTTAATGGGGTCACCCCAAAGGAAAGAAAGAGCCCACAAAAGAACATTAGCGCCATATTTTACTTTATTATTTTCTTGAAGGAAAAAGTCCTTAAAAGAAACACAGCGTCGAAATTGGTTTGTCAAACTCCATTCGAGAGATTCTTTACTCAAAGATAAGCCACGTTCAGGTCGGCCAAGTGAAGTTGATGATGACGATATGCAGGCTTTCATCGAATCTGATCGTCCTGTAACTCAGCGTGAGTTTGGAGGGAAGTTAAGTATACCAAAATCAATCGTTCATAATCATATGCGACGTCTTGGACTGGTGAACCACATGAATTTAAAGAAATTCATTTAACAAGCCGCTTCAACGCCTGGGTGTATGCATCTCAAACGCAACGAATACAATCCATTTTTGAACCAAATCATAACTATAGAGAAAATATGGATCGTCTTCAATAACGTCAATCGAAAACGATCATGATTCAAGCATGCTGAAGCGCCCACTTTAAAGGATGATGTTAACCAAAAGTAGATTATGCTGTCAGTTTGGTGGCTTTGGAATTGGTGTGGTATATTTTGAGTTGCTGCCAAGGAACCAAACGATTAATTCGTATGTCTACTGTGATCAACGGGGCAAATTAAATACAACCAACAACGAGAAGCGGCCAAAAATGGTCAATCGCAAATGGTGTCATATACCACCAAAACAATACTAGATCTATATATACATATACATATATACATTTTCTTGCTTATACGAGTATAGCGTGCACTTACTTGATGGATAATNAGGGGTGGGGCCAGACTTCCCATTTCAGCCTTTCCAGATACTTTTTGACAACTTTTGCTCGATGTTCCTCGGTTTCAACTCATACGGCACCCAGTTTCCTTCTTTTTGAATTATGCCCAGGGCCTTGAGACGTTTTGGAATGACTTGCTGACTCACTCCCAACGATTCGGCAAGCTGTTCTTGGGTTTGGCACGAATCTTCATCAAGCAATGCTTCTAGTTGTTCATCTTTGAAGGTTTTCTCTCTTCCACCACCATGTTTGTCTTCGACATCGAAATCACCATTTTTAAAGCGTTGAAACCACTCCCGACACGTTCGTTCACTCAAGCAGCTTCATCGTAAGTTTCTAAGAGCCTTCGATACGCTTCAGCAGCATTTTTTGTTTCGAATTGTAACAGAAAAGTAAAATTCCCGTAAATGGCGAGAATTAGGCACATAAACGGACATTTTCGAGCGTGAATAATACGAAAACGAGAAGAACTGTCATTGAAACGGCGATGACAATTTGTTACGCAATGCCCACACTCACTTTAAAGGCATTATCATCTATGTATTTCAACCAGCCTCAGCCGGTACAGCCACCTATCGGAAAACGGCGGAAGCAAAGTTGTACACCTGATATATAATTGATAATTGATAATATTCCTTTCCAATAAAAAAAAAGAGAATTATTCATAGAGGTAAAAACATGAAAATTTTTTATAATCAATCTTCCAGCTACTGGCGCCCTATAATTGGAAATTAAGATTACATACACACCTTCTAACTCGTATATATGTATATGTGCATTGGGTGCTTTCTCCTGAATGACTCACAGATCAACCCACAATTTAAACCACTGACCGTAAAGTCCTGAAACTTTGTGGATGTATTCTGCGTATACCTTATGCACGGGATAAGAAAGAAAGTGGTCCCGGGACGGATCTGTTCGAAGAAACCTTGTTTATTTTTAAATACTTTCATTAACATGAAGTTTGGTACAGTAGAAGCTTTGGGCCCAAATCACCGTACGAAACACTTTACTTTTCAGGGAACCGACCTATTCGAAACAAAATACCTTTGGAGACAGAAACGTTATCAACTACTTAACAAAACTGGTGTCAAGTAGTGAAGGCGCTCCAACAAATGAACAGAAACATATTTATTACGAAATATTGTATATACTTTCAAGTATCGAAGCAGTGTTTGGAGATATATATCTTTCGGAAGCTCCAGGTGGAAAAGGCAAAAGTGGGAAGCAAACATGATTTGGCCTTAGAGGTCACATACATACATATAGTTGGGGAAGTATTCACTCTTTATGACCTTCAGTGAAAAAACTGAGCCTCACCAAAATACGCACAGCTCTCTGACCGGTTGCTGAGAATAGGAAATAGTAATTTCCCGGTACTGAAGAACAGCATTCGGAAAGACTATCTAACGACTATGGTAGAGCTTATAGCTACGATTTATGCGATTATAAATAATATTCATGATGATGACTCATTCTTTTAAATTTATTGTAAAAATATGGGAAAAGGGAAAAGAATTTCTATTTAACCATTTCTTTTGAACATATTGTTGCGAAAATGCGAGGCGCATGTCAGATGAAAGAGAGAAGCCGATAACTAGTACATTCTAGAAACGAAAAAACGAGAACCTTCGATAGCGAACAACTCGATTATTCTACACTTTCGTCTACGAGCAGCCGACTGCTATATAAGGGCGACAATCAGCTGCCAAGTCAAGTCAGTTACAAAGTGAACTCGTTTGCGACAACATAGAGTATAGCGGAATAAACTATTTGAGTCGTAAAGTAAACGCGTTGGAGATTACATTTAAGTAAAGTAAATTTTGAAAGTTTATGCAAGTGATTGTAGCTAGTGAAGTGCATTTTAATTGAATTGTGAATTACTGAGTAAATAAAGGACATTTAGATAAATTCTTTATAACGAAAGAAATTGCAAATTAAGTTGGCGATTTTTGATTTAACCATCCAGAGATCGTACCCGAAGGATTCAGAAAATCATCGAAGTTGATTCAGCAAAATCGTAACAATATATTGAGGTATAAAAAAATATTCTTTAATTTTTATTTGCTTACAAAATGGTATGTTAAAGTCTATTATTTAATCCATGCTTTTTTTAAGGCGTACACGCGAGGACCGATTTCGTCTAAAGCATGAGACCTAGAGAGAAAAGCAAAAAAATTTATGATCTACTTTGGATTTAATCTTTTAACTTATTTTTGTGAAAGCGGCACACTTTGTTAAAGTTATTGATTTTTATCTAAAAAAAATTTAAAAAAAAATTTTACTTTAAATCCAAAAACGGCTACAGAAAAAAAATGTATTTGTGAAGCCACTATAAAAATTTCAGATAAATCTATGCAATATCGATATAATAATCTGTCTTTCCAGCTAGGAAAATGCGATTTTGAAAAAAAAATGCGTTTTTATTGTACTCAGGGCGCGCACGCTCTGAGATGCTGCAGCAAAATAAAAAGTTTAGCTACACGAAGTATTTTCTTTTTTCACTTTAAAACGAATTGCATATGATTTCTATTAAAGAAACCGTTACAGTACAGTAAGCAGTCAATTTAAGCACAGCAAATTGTGTACTTAGTTGTAGCGAGGCGAGTCTAAGTTAGACTTATGTAACTCATAAACAAAGCCACAGAAAGTATTGCAGTTGCGGTTTTACCTTCTTTAAACTTTTCACCGTTACTTTACTTTTTAAAGCACGTTTTTGTATACTTGAACATTGTTACATATACACATATATATGTATTGTACATATGTTGTTGTGTGTCTGCAAGAATGCTTAAAAATCGCTCTGTTCGGGAAAGTTTTTACATAAATTATGTACGCCTCCACGTTGGCAGCTGAATTCAATAAACCAATAATATAACGGTCACGGCTGGTCAACGAAAACGCATAAATCTTAACTAGAGTAAAGTATGGCCTATCACATACATACGTACATACATATATACATACATATATACATAAAAACTCATTTAATAGTTATGCACAACACGTTTTTACGGAAAAATACTGTCACTGTTGAATAAATATTTTATTAAGTACACTTCAACGGAAATAAATTATTCTCAAAGAATTTATTTTGAAAGTTTATTCAGTAATTTTATTGGTGAATTTCCAGTTTTTCAAATTTGCGTCAAGTAGATCTGTACGAAAAATGCGATCAAACTGAATTCCAATTGCAATATTCTAACAGGTTTAACTGTAATCAAAATTAAAATTAAATTTATTGCATTCGTTGATTGTGGGAACTTTTTGAGACAAACTATCTGATGTTTATTTCAATGTACAGAAAACAATATCATCCATTACTAGCCGTCACGACTACGCTTACAGGACCGTATTCGCTTATGCATCACCAAATTGGTCAATGATTGCTGTATGCCCTCAATAGCTGCACGTATTCCATCACTGAGGATCTGATTCGACGTTGGCGAGTTGGCGTAGACCTTTCCTTACATGAGGACTCAAAGAAAAAAGTTGCAATCTGTTAAATCGCAAGATTTCGGTGTCTAATTGCGATCACCTCTTCGAGAGATAACACGGTCTAGAAACTTTTCCCTTAAAAGATCGATGGTTTCGTTGCATGTATGGCAGGTAGCATTTTGTTGAAAGTAAACTAAGTCCAAAGCAATACTATCCAGTACCGGCCATAAAAACTCATCAATCATCTCTCGATATCGCCATCCATTCACCATAACTGCTGCTTCAGCCTCATTTTCGAAAACTCTGCCAGACCATAAAACTGCACCAAACGCTTATAAGTTGAGGAAAGAATCAAAAATATGGGTCTCATCAGTCAAGATGATGATTTTTCAATGAAATTCCGAATAATTTTCATGAGTTTCAAGGACCCAATCAGCTGAAACGCGACGTTTCTGCTGAACCTTAGAAGACCTCAGCCTTTATGCAAAATACAATGTAATACGTTTGCGGCACGTGGAATGCCCAATTCCAAAAAAAGACGAGTAATGGACAAACCTGGATTTTCTTCAACACCTTGGATTACAGCAGCAAATATGCTCAGTTGTTTTTGAGCGACGTCCACATGTTTTATTCTTCACATCACTAACTTCCCCCAAAAAGCTCTATTTTTCCCCAATTTTTCCCCGACAATGAACTAACCCCAAAGTGACCGGACAACGGCTCGGTATTCTAGGAATGGGAAAAATGCAGAGAACCCACCTCAAAGGCCAGAGATATACCAACTATGTCTGGAACCTATGAGGCTGACTACTCAAGGCGCAGTAAGTGACCGGAGACCTTACAAAGAAGCGTTGGTGCAACTTCGCCATCATTTATACTGGATGACGCGGAGGGAGCATGTCATCAGGGCTGCATAGCAAGGAGACGGCGTTTTGTGATGGTCTTGTGAACCTCATCGTCTTCAAGTATGTTTGATTTTTAAATCAATACTGCTTAATTCGAAAAAGAATTACTTAGACTGGCTTTCAACTTCGTTGAGGACATTTCAGGTATCCACGCAATGGTAGAGCGTCTTCCAGAACTATGGCACACATATATTTTTCGTCAGGTTTGTTGGTACACCATGGTGGTACCAACGCATCAACACCAGAAGAGGGATATTTAGGGACTAACGTATTCGCAAGAGGATAGACTAACGGGTTCATCCAAAAGAAAAACATGCCAGTCGAGAATGCGAGTCGTCCATGAACCTGTTGTTTGACAGAATGAGTGAAATTAAATTCAATATTGCGTTAGTCCAGGAATATAGTATCTCCGGGTATGGGCTTACTCCACTAGTTTGCTTTGTCTAACTTCCAAATATTTTGTGGCGGTTACAAGACAAGAAAAACTTTTCTTTCTCAGCTGATCTGTCAAAGAGGGTTGGCACAGTGATGAGGTTGGGAAGCCACCTATTGCTACTGGTCACTCTTTTTGTCTTTTAATTTAATATTATATACAACAAAAACAAGTATGCAGCTTATTATTGGTGCAGCTTATCAGACTCCCTGAGCAGCGCAGACTGTATGACAGTAAATATGAAGGGATAGGGGAAATATCGTAGCACTTTTCAAATCAGTTGAGTATCTCGCTAAATGGGACTTGGCATAAAGATTTTAGAATAAAAATGGTGCATTAAATCCCTTGAATGAAACTGTGAGAACTATCTCAACAAAGGCCCTGGAAGATATCGTTGATCGCAGCTAGAGGTTCAAAAATGTAGCACAATTGGAGCCAGTCCACTAACTGTGAAGGATATATTGCAGAAATATAATTTGCGCTTTGTAACCGCTGAAGCGATTTTCGGCCGAACTTTTCTTCTAATTTGCGGTGTTCGTCTTAAGTTTTTCCAACTACGACGCCGCCGAACGGCCGATGGAGAGACTTCGAACGACAAATAAAGTGGCCTGTAGCAACAGGTGATTACGGTTAGCTTTTTACTTGATGTCAGATATGCAATCGGAGGGCTTGACATTCTCTGTCAAAGGGCGAAAGCTAATAGAAGAATCAACTTTTTATTTAAATTATTTTTCTATTAATTTTCGGTTCAGGACTGGCTTTCCGAATGTTGGTACGCACTGCTAAACACGTACAATGCAATCGGAACACCTGCTGTCAGATGCAAGCCATGTACTCACTCTGAGTAGGCAAGATTCTTCGGAAGGTGGCTGAAAGTAAGACAGGCATAGAAGGAAGGAACTTCTGTAAACGCCCCAATACGGAAGGTAGTTTCAAGCTCAAAATCCACAATTCTGCCTTCCAAGCAGATGTTGTGTTTATTACTGAAGGCACAAAGTACGCTTAAGCTTTAATAGAGAAATATATTAGACATCTTTTAGGCAACCAAGCCGTAATTAAAGCAATTAGACGTGTCAACTCATAGTCAAAATTTTAGAGATCGTGCCAGAGAGCAGTAAACACTGCTCGACGAAATACTGCTGGGCCAACTAGCGCAGTGGTGGTCTGTTAGACCTTCCAGCGCCTTCACATGTTGTTTAAAATAATATTTCGAATGGAAAGCAGAGGAGCACTTAAAATCCTGGAGAATTTTTAAAGAGGGTGTGCCACTAAAGTGCTGTGGGGCAGCATGGATTGTAGACAGATTTAACTCTCGCTCACACTAAGCAAAAGAGAACTTGGAGCACTTCCAAGGAGTCATCTAACCCTGAAATATGAGACATGATTTCCTGCTTTGATAAAATATTTTTAAAGGGTGATTCTCGTTGTCTTTTAAGAAACATTTTTAAAGTGGCATAAATAGAAGTTAATAAGTGCTTCTTCTTCATAGACCGCTAAGGTAAACTACATTTTTATTTTTCCTCAATTTCGATTTTCAACTTTGGGCTTAACCTTGCGTTGGCGAAGTTTTCATCTTAATTCGTTAGTAAAGCAGAAGTTTCTACTTACCAAATAGTAGATAAATTAAGTCCGACACTGCTAAACTGAATAAATAATAATTTGTGGCTGTGTGCATAGTCGGATGTCGGATAATCACAACACACACCAGAATATTGCCCAGCATGCCGGTGATGAAGATTCCACCAAATATTATCGTGAACTGTAAGGAAAATCAAAATAAATAAAATTTATGTTAATTTGTTCATAATTATTTGAAATATTATTATGCTATAAAAATATTGAAAACTGGTTTTTCACTATTATTTACATAGAAACTGTTGTTGTTTACTGGGTTATAACCGTCCAAACGGTGCCTGCGTCAGTTGAAACTAAAAGATATCTGCACCGGTTATTTTTTACATTTACTTAAAACAATTCAATGTGCCAAGTTATATAACGAATTTCCGACGTTTTGAGAAAATAAATTTCATTGCCTTGCGGTAGATATTACACGTGGGGATTAACAAAAGTTCGTCGGTAAGTTGACCAGAAAAAAATAAAATAAAAATTCTTTTCGTATTTATTCGTAATCTTTATTCGTTTTTATCTTCTCTACATATTTGCCATTGATTTAAATGTATTTTCTTAAGACTCTAAATCCACTTCTGAAAAGAGTCTTCAAAATCTTGCTTTTTTAGCTTATCAAGTTCAGCTTTTACCGCTTTAATTATTTCCTCTTTGCTATTAATGACCTTTCCTTTTACTTTTTGGAAATAATCAGAAGTCACAAGGTGGCAAATCAATGGAATATGGTGCTGGACGTATTTCTTTGATCCCAGGGATCACAATGATCCGTTATTTCAGCGGTGTGGGATGGCGCGTTGTCATGATGTAAAAAGAAGCGCCGCAAATCGTCTCTTTCCTGTTTTCCAAAAAATTTTTGAAAACTTTTGGTAAGCACTCTTCGGTGTACCATTTTGCAGTTACCGTCGGACCCTTTTCCAGTGAAATAGCAGCTACGATTTTAGATCGGGTGAAGTAAACTGAGATCATTACTTTTGCTGCTGATTTTTGTTGCTTAGATTTTACGGTTGAGTATGCTCCTGATGGGCTCCAAACCATTGACTGCTGTTTGGTTTCTGGAGCTTACTTATAGATGCAAGATTCGCCACTAGTAAAGACTTTATTAAAGCTGCTAGACTGACCATTTCCGATTTTGTTTTAGGTAAAATGGAGTAAAAGGCACTCGAATCTCTTTTTGGGCTTCTTATTAAATAAAATTCGTGGTACCCATCGAGCAGATTTCTTCGTGTATCCCATATTATTACTTAATATACGCAATTTAGCCATGACATTCAAGCTCAATTCATTAGCAATCATTTCTTGTGTCAATCGTTGGACTTCGTCGATTTTCGACTTCGTCAGAGCTACAGTGAGTGATCGGTGGAAGAGTTTGGTCGACCGTCTCGGAGCTCGTTCTCTACGGTAAAATGTCCGATCGGGAATTTTCGGAACTACTTAGAAATAATCTTTAAGGCTGTAAATTGCGCCAAATGCCGAAGAGAGTCACATGTCGAATTTTCGTTGATGGTGGAATTTCGTCTGATCTATCCTCAGCTATCTTGCGTTTCCTCGTCTCCATTTTAGCCGATTGTTCTAAAATTTTAAAGGAGAACTAATAAAGAATTTACAATGTGTTTGGTGTTTTAAGATTTGACAAAAACAAATTGAAAGCCACCAACTGACCGAACTTTTGTTAATCCCCACGTATGTTGTACGTATTATGTGCAAGTCAAAATGATAATGACGGTAAATGGTGAGTGAGCACAATTGTGTGCCTTTAATGGTGTTAACGTCGCCACTTATATTTGTTGTATTTGTTATTTTAACCATTACTTTAAACTACTTTTGTAAGTCATAAAAAATGTAATGAAGTTTTTAAGAAATTCAGGCAACTGAATTTGCTCCATTCAGCAAAGTTTCGAAATCATTTGCAAAAAATTAACAGAATTTAAATGTCTTCAAAATGTAGAAAGTGTGTTCCTTCCGTCGGCCACATTTGTGTTTAATGTAATTGTTGAGGATTTAAATATATGCACACATATATACTCGTACATACATACATATATAATTTGCGCTTTGCAACCGCTGAAGCGAATTTCGACCAGGCTTCGCTCCAATTTGTGGTTTTGCGCTTTGATGTTTCTCCAAAAAATAGTTTCCTTTAAATTTTTATGTTGGTCGCGGCCAGGATTTGGATCCGTGATCTTCTACACTTGGCTGCTGCAGCCGGGATTCTCTGCAGATTAATTTAAAGTTCGTTCTATTCCAAAGCCAAATTCAAGTCGCACTCCTTTTTCCTCCTCTTCAGTTCGTTCGAGCCAACTTCCGAAGATATTTAAGATTAGTGAACAACAAATACTGGAGTGATTCCGCAAAGGCCTAGTATCATTTTTACTTTGACACTCTTAACTATTGCAGATTTCAGAACTTGATCATAAATTCCCTGGCAAACCTTAACATTAATCAAAACCTGAGGAAACTCGTACAAACGAAATCAGTTTTTTACTACCCCGAACGTTCTTCAGATGAAGAGCAGAAAATGAAAAACATAAGTTTTGAGGTAGGTTGTTTGATTGCAGTGGTTGCTGTGCATCAGATCATCTAGACCCCAAGAGGGCCTATTGTGATACCACTGAGGATCCTAATGACCCCTACCCGCTAATCAAACCAGTGCGTGGAGCTTGTAAAGCTGAGCAGACGTCGCATCTTCGCTACCGCTAGCTCGCTTAGGTCTCCAAAGGTAGCCGCCCCTAGAGACTTCAACCCACTCCACCAAAGTGCGGGGAATTCACATAGGTTATTCTTCTTCTCTGCCAAATAGCATTTGCCCTGTAACTGTAGATATGTCCTTCCTTTTTAACTTGACGAAAGTGCGTGACCTTTTTCCGTTCCATTCTAGTCATAGTGTCCTGGCCACATTACATCTTAAATTGGCATTCTTAGCATAACAAAAACTTTCATATATTGAGCTTACAAGTGCGGAGCGGCATGCCCGCACTCTTCCATGATGGCGAAAGTGGAAGTTAAGTGCCCTTCCTTGAGAGATCGTCCGCCATCTCATTACCCGGAAGTTATTGTGTCCAGGTACACAGACCAGATTCAGAGAGAACTGCTTAGCCATCACGTTAATCGTTTAGACTCCGTAATGCAGCCTGACCATATATGGATACGATTATCCGAGAGCACCCTTAAGCTCAAACAATTGACAGTGTGATGTATAGCCACCAATTCCGCTTGAAAACCCCTACAGTGATCTGGTAAGCTAAAGGATTTATAGATACCAAGATCCGTTATCATCTTTTGACCCGTCCCCATAAGTATTAATCAAGTCGGCCGTTGCTGGTATTATCCTACCCCAAAGGTTTTTATCCGAGATAACCACTTTGAAATCTGCACAGAAGTCCGTTAATGATATGCAGTAATCCGTTTTTTCAGGAATACCTTGTGCAGCCTTACCGCGGTGCAAGCAGCATTGTGCAGCCCCATCGTGTCAATGGGGAGTTGATCAAAGATAGCATTCATAAGTTAAGTTTTTGTGGTACGAAGTGCTCCGATGATGCACAAGAGCGCTTCCTTCTGTACTCTAACGAATTTAGAAATAATTGATTTTTTCTCAAGTGCTGGCCACCAGACTACTACCCCAAGGTGGTTTTATACTTCTAGGTTTCTCTCTGCCAGATTCCGTTTTGCATAATATGACAAAATGTTTGTGGGAACTTGCCAATCTTCATAACCGCCATTTCGTCCGCATATGCTATGGCACTGTTTTTTTGGCTCCTCCTCCATATATTTCAGCTAAGACCCAGACACACCTCAGTGCCGACACACCCGCGGCCTCAGATCTTACGACCCTGCATCTAAGCTTTTGGCGTTTAAAGAAATCAACCGAGGAACGACGCCCAGGCAAGTCGAGGCAGAAGTAACTGCAGTCGGTGCTATACAAATTTTTTTGAAGGCCCCCTAATATCTAGAAAAGCCACCAGGCTATAGACTTTGACCGTGAAAGTTCTTACAATTTGTGATATCACCGTGTGTAAAGATTACGATCCACCTAACATGAATTTCCATCAATCGTTCCATTGCCTTAAGTAGAAGGGAAGTCAGGCCTATGAGTCTGAAAGCCTTCAGTTTCCACATTTGGATTCCCTCCATATATTGGGTATGCGATTTAGACTGAAGACTCCTTTCAATATAGCATACAACCAGTTGACACTGGTATCATAGGACTGCTGTAATTGAATAGTTACAATTTCGTCAGGTCATGGACTTTTGAATGGTTTAAACGTACCAATCGCACACTTGATCTTGCTCTCTGTTAAGAGTTCTTTTAGTATGCGCACTGATTTATTTCATATCGGTTCCGATGCCCTACTTGTGGTTGCATCAGGGAAGTCTGGCTTCTGCAAGCATCCCGTCGCCGAACGAGGGGTACATGAGAATACTTTCCTGAGCCTACTCCCTTTTGACGCTGTCTCCACATTGCCGCAGAATTCTCTCCAAAAGCTTCTGTTTGCCTTTCTTAAGGCGTTCTCATACATAGTGTCTTAAGTTTTGCTTATGTTTTTCACCTTGAGGTTTCTCATTAGCAAATCTGCTCTTCAAGGCCGCCTTAATTTGGAGGCGACACGAATTCGAAATTCATTTTGCACAATGTTTAAATATTTATTAATTTCTCTCTCTCTCTCTCCCTGTTTTTTAAAGCCGGTATTTAAAGTCACTTTCAAGTATAATTTTTAAATATAAAAAATAGAAATATTAATAAATTGGTGTTTTAATAAAAGCAAATCATTCGATTTTCGATCTGCTTTGACTGCCGAAAATCGAATCGAATAAAAATTCGAAGATCGAATTTCAAAATCCTTTTGGGCTATTCAAAAATTTCTCTATTTGGTCGTGTGTACAAGACAACAAGTATGAAGGCAGCTTGTTGAAATATGCTTCTGGGTTTTTGCAAATTTTTTCGAATTAGATTCTGGCATCCCGAATTCGAATCGAATTCCAACAAAGGTGTCTTTAAAAGGATAGGATGATGAGGAAACGTGGTGGTATCCACAATAGCAACTATAACTTCTACCGACCAAAACTGTTGTGGTAATTTTTCAACTATTTCTCAAAAATATATGGTCTGAGACAGTTCCATAAAACCAAAAATCGAAA